AGATAATAATCTCAGAGTAGCTCTTGTAATTTACTCACGGAGATCAACAAGGGGGTTTGAGGTGAGATGGGATTTAGCCTTTCCCACTTTCTGTAAATACTTCTCCATTGTGAAGAAATCATGTTGATCTGACTTTGCCCATTTATTTTGCTTTCTATTCAGTAAATGAATAATATTGTGTCCAAATGCATATCAAGTGTCTAATGTAGTTGTAGGATGATTAACTGTTTCTGTGAAAGGTTCAAGGTAAAACTGTCTCCAGTGCTGCTGGCTTAGGTGTCTCTGAAAACTGATTCAGTTGTAGCTGCTGATTCTGGTTTCTTTTTTACCAGGAAAAATGGTGAATGTCCCTCTGGAGCAGCTGCCTCTCCTGTTTAAGGCCGTTCTACATTCCTGCAAGACGAGCGTGAGCAAAGAGTGAGCGCAGCTGGCCCGGCCGTGCCTTACGCTGAGCCTGGGCCGGCTCACCCGGGAGAGGGCAAGCGCCATCCAGGCAGGAGGCAGGGCCGTGGGCCTCCCTGCCCTTGTAGCAAGAATCTTTTTTGTTTGTTTTTGTTTTTTTACTCGTTTTCCTATATATTTATTTCACGACAGAGTTGAATGTATGATCTTCAACACGATGCACATGGTTCTGTAAGAATGCAGCAGATGCATTCTCCAGCAGTTTACAGAATGTGAAGATGTTTAATGTTACAGTGTTTGTTAGGGTTAGTTCTTTTGTATTTGGGGCTGGGGACCGAGATGACTAAGACTACCTCAAGGAGAAGATGCTGTTCACGCACTGCTCTTTCCATGATCTGCATCCAAAGTGTTTGTCATAGAGAGCAGATGTTGACAGAGCTGTTAGTATCCCAAAGGGACGACTTTGGAGAAGTGGGTGCTAGAGAAGTGCCAAGCTTTTTCTTTAATTTTAAAAAGGCAGGAGTGGAGAAGGAGAAGTCTGTCTAGGCAGTTGGTTTCTTTTCCCCTGGCAGTTTCCAGATGCAGGTTCCCAGTGGGATGGCAGTGCTCTGAGGGTCTCCCTGGCCCTGTGCTGTATGGGGAGCTGCAGGTGGGGTCTGCCCCAGCCCCTCCTGGCCAGCTGCCCTCTTACTATTGCCACAACACCTGCCAATTCCTCTGAAATTGTGTTCCTGCAGTTCATAACAGGCTCCTGGCATTACACAAAGGTGTTCCTGTTGCTAGAGATGGCAAGGACTTTATCATCACTTCCTTAAAATCCATTTTAGGCTTACAAAAGCAGGAAAAACCTACTTAGAGAAGAGGCAGGATTGCCCCTGTTCATGCCTCCAACATGGTACCTGAGACTTCTGCATTGCAGCAACCCCTGTTTTGGGAGCAGTTAATGTATCCTGCGTTGAATGGGGCCTGTGTAGTGGGGTGAGGGACTCCAGTGTCCTCTGGCATGGCTTTCTCTGCTGGACTCAGGGAATGGGTGTTCCATAGTTAGATCCTGCCAGGACTGCCCTGTTCCTTGTGGAATCCCAGGAAAAACTACATTACTGCTGTACTTGGTTACCTGTTGTGTTCTAGGTGTTGCAAGGCTTGGATTTTCCATCTCGCAGGCTCTCCACAACTCCAGGGAGAACTGGTTTAATGACAGCTGATTAGCTGATTGAGTGATTGCTAGGTGCTGATGTTTAGCTAAAATTGGGCATTCTCGTGAGTGACCTCATGATTTCCTGCTCATGATGGGGAGGTTGGATGAGATGCTCTTGATCTCATCTCCTTCATTAGAAATTAATATCAAAGACTGTCACTCTCCTAAACAGCCTTGGCTGGATTTCCTTCCCTGCCTACTTAGATGTAAATCTGGCATTCACTTAGAAAGTGTTTGAATGCTGGTTTAAGAATACTTGTGGAAACAACTCTTGTTCCTTCAGGATAGGAGGGACAGTCACTACCCTCATGTCTTTCCCTGGAGGCATCTGCGTGGCACAGAGCAAGCACAGCTCAGCAGGCTGCAGCTGCTGTGCATGAACGTGGTGGTGAGCAGGAGAAAACTCCCCTTCCCCAAAGTCGTCCTTCCCTCCCCCCTGGCCCAGGGGTGCTCCCTGGTCGCAGCCCGAGGGGGCTGTGCCCTGCTGGTTTGGCATGGCCGGTCAGCGCCGGTGGCTGCGGTCACACCGCGGGCATCCCGCTTGGGCATCTCCCAGCTCAACGGTTTCCCTCTTCTAAGAGTCCATAGCTGTTCATTTTTCATTATTTAAGCAGGATGTTACGGGTAACAGCTGCTGGGCACGGCAGCGGCTCAGCTCGGTGGAGCTTCGCACCCAAAGGTGGTTCCATGAATCTCATTTACTTCCTGACAGTACAATGAGACACGTGTGTATTCTCAGGAAAGCCTTCTGCATACAGCCAATACCTCACATGTTCAGGGAAAGATTTTAGTGTATCTGTTTGTAAGTTAGAATGTATTTCTCAGCTTTTGAGTTTAATTTCCAAATAGCTTGATATGATCTTTTTATTACGGGTTATTTCTGGCTTGCTGTTTTATACACTCAAGGAATTGTTAAAATTGCATAGGAGTGATTTTATTCTACAGTTACTGAATTATTATAATCTGTTGATGAATAAGTGTTCTAATTAGTGTACATAAAAACAGTCATCTTGTTGCCAGCTACCCAACAAAAATCAATTGGGTAATCTGTGGTTTTCCAAAATAGCCTCCCAAAACTAATGCTGTACCAACAACAACCAAAAACCTAAACTCAGTTATGATGACAAACAGACATGGATGTTCCACTTTCTGTTGTAGAAAGCAAATTTTACGAAGGTTGATTGGCAGCAGTATCCGTTCCCAAATACACATTTGCCATAGGGAGTAGAAAATCCTTCCTGAACTGACAGGTAAGGAAGCAGCAAACAGACCAGATGGAATCACTGGACAGTCATTCCTGATATCTTCTGCACCAAGTCCTCTAACGACTTGTGTTTTTTAAACAGGGTAATGTGAATGTGTTGCATTGCAAACTCAGGTATAATGAGAAGGTAGGAATGTAGCTAGAGACATAGAGGTGTTAGGTAGATGTATTTGTGAATTTGGTTTGAAGGACACCCTGGAAAGGTTGGAATTTTCGTTCCATTCTTCATGTAACATTCAGTTTACAGGGACTCATATTTTATTTGTGCTTAATGCTACTAGGGGGAAGTTCATTATCTTTGGTATCTATCTGCTCTTGCTTATCTGACCTTCTGTCATAGAGAAATCTATCAACAATAATAGTCTTTGGTAGAATTTTCTGCCATGACAAGTCAATTTTTATCCCCGATTTGAAAGATAGATTGGCTGGCTGACCCCCTCTTCTCCTTCAAAGCGTCTGTGCAGATAGAAAGCCGAAGAGTTACTTTTAATCCGAGCAGAGATGTGGGACATAAATTTGAAGTGCTCAGGGGAGGCTGCCGAGGAGCAGCTGGAAGGGTCCCGCTCGTGGGGCTCCATCCCGTGAATGCCAGACCCCGGGGCCTCAACAAAACCTTCTGGAAGTGAGGGAGTTTGCTTCCCCTTCAGCTCAGGCTCCTGCCAGCTGGGCTGAGCCTTGACCCCTCTGGCTGCTCTCACTTGCTGCAGGTGCCTTGGTGGCCTCATCCCCAGCCATGCAAAGGCTCAAGTGCCTCTGCTGCTGTCCCTCCCCTGTGCCAGCAGGATCTGCCCTTGCTCCTCAGGCTTCTGCACAGACCCACAGCCACTTCAGGTAAAGGAGTTTAAGTCTTGTCCTTCAAACCAACTTTAAAAAAAAAACAAAAAAAACACTTGAATTTCTTTTATCTTTACTACATTTTTTAAAAGGAAAAAAAAGAAAAAAAAAAGATTCTCCTGTGAATGTGCTATTTCCCATTAATTCTCTCTTCCTTCTTGGTTTTGATTTGAAGCTATGAAGCTCAGTGTCTGTGAAAATGTTGTTATTTCTCAGGATAATAAGCGGCAATCATCCCTGCCACATGAAAGGCAGGAGAAAGGGGGAAACTTGGGGAACTAGTTAAAGTATGAAACTAATTTTTAAGTTGTAGATGATGTGTAAATGGAGGGGAGTGCATAGCTATCAGTATCAAGCTGTGGTGTTTCTCTGGGTACACGGTGTGTTGTTTCAATGCACAGAAGCTCAGGGATAAGTATTTAAAATGTGACCCAGAGAAACCCTGGTTTTGATGTTGCAACAGTTGCTTCTTTCCCGACTTGTCTGGAGGACCCACTGAGAGCTGACCAAAGCCCCATATGGGGATTTTGGGGCAAAAGCTTAGGGTTTGGCTGTGGGAAGTTTGCCTGCTGAAGGCTCAGACGTGGTGCTGTGGGCAGAGCATCCCGAAGGTGCACGGGGCTGTACCAGGCTGTGCCCTTGTGCCACCCAGCAGCTGGGGACAGCTCTGTCTGTGGGGCTCTATTTCTGCATCCCCTCATCCCTCTGCCTTTGCTGTTAAGTGTTTTACTGTTCATGGAAAGGAGAAACAGAAATTTCCCATTGTATCCCTGGCAGCCAGTTGCAGGGCTCTGTACGCTGTTACTTATGAATTCTTAATTTTCATCAGTGCACCTTTCTCACTATGGTTGTAGGAGCAGTCAGACAGTTTGAGAAGGGCACTGCTGTGTGACTCAGGTTGGGTTACAGCTGCTATGAGAGTCCAAACAGCCCCATCCAGCCGTACACAGGGCCAGCACTGAGAGTCAGCAAATTTTTAAGGGCTGAAACCCCCTCCCAGCACCCTCAGCTAGAGTCTGCAAATCTGAGTTTAAACCAGCCTCGCAAAAAGCTGGGGAAGCCAATCCAGGCAGTGACTTTCCCTTGGGAAAAAAAAAAAAATTAAAAATAACTCCTGTGAGCTGCCCTCTGACAAGTCTGTGAAAGAAGCAACATGGTTCAGTGGAAGAAATGCCCCCAAGGGCAAAAAGAAACAGAAATTGAGACCAGATGATGATCAACCTTAACAAAGCCTTTTGTGATTCATTGTTTTCTTTCAATTTATAAAATGTCTTGTAATAGTTGATAACATTATTGACTCAATTTCCATAACTAAACTACCTCGTGTGACATCCTGTTTATCATCTCAAAGGGATTGTGTGAAAAACTAAACACTGCCAGTGTCTGTTGCCAGCGAGGAACGGGGGCCGTGATTGCTGGAGTTGTGTTTCCTGGGGTTGGCTCCTGTCACTGCTGTGTGTCCCGTGGCCCGGTGTCCCTCCCTGGGGACCGTGTGGCTCATGGCAGTTTGGGTTTTGGCGGTGCCCATCCAGCCCCAGGCCTGGTGCAGAGGCTGTTTTGTACCCTGGCACCTCCCAGGACCTCGCAGCTCCTCGTGTGCCCGTCCTGGCAGCCCGGGGAGGCAGCGGGTCAGGTTTGCTGCCTGTGTCGGCCCCTTGCTGCTGTGAGGGATGTTTCCAAGAGGGTCAGTCCCAGCTGTTGGCTCCTTCTTGGTGGCGTTCCCAGTGATGGTTTCTCCCGTTCATTTTTCCCACAATCCCTGTGTAAATCAGGGAAGCAGGATGTTGCTGCAGCATGGCACACGGTGAGCATTGGCACACTCGGAGCCGGGCTGGGGCAGGAGGGTGTGCCCGGCCCCGTGTCACCGCGGGGGAACGGGCACCGGCAGCTGCCCCCTCACCGCGCCACGACCAAATGAATGTTTCTGCCGGCGGCTCCCAGCCTGCCCCGCTCCGCTGCTCTGCTCTGGGACTTGACTACCTGTGGAAATGTGACCAATAAGTGTTGAATGCATGTTTAGTGAGTGTTTAGCTGTATGAACTAATAAATGTGAAATGTTCTGCACTGCTGGTGTTTCCAGGCTGTTTGTGCCTTCCCATGTTGGTGGTGGCTCTCTCAGGGTGGGGGAGCCCAGCGCTGCCCTGGGTGGTGGCTGTGGCCCTGCCCTGCCTGCTGCTGCGCTCCTGGAATGGGCTGTGGGTGTGGGGAAGGCCTTGGGGCTGCTGCTGTGGCTGGGAACTGGGATAAGGGCATTGTGCCACACGGGATTTATTCCTGGTGAGGGGGCCCCGAAGATCAGCAGTGGTGGGGCTCCCTGGGAGGTGGCAGAGGATGCTCTGTGCACGTGAGGTGGTGGGTTTGTCCTCCCTTTCAAAGGAATCTGGAGCCACGCAGAGGTGACAAGGCAGCCTCTCCCCTCACCCCGCACTGGCACGAGGCGCTGCCTGGAAAGCCAGGCTGGAGTGGGAAAAGTACCAGCACCTTTTAATTTTCAGCTCAACCCCTACTGACCACTGTATTTTGATTAGAGCTCTGCTTCCTTTTCATCTCGGTGCTCTGGCGGGTGACAACTGCCACAGCCCCGTGTGCGCGGCGCAATAGTTTATCACCGAAGGCCAGCGGCTCTATGAATTCAGAGCCAGCGCGGAACAAATCACGCTGTCACTAACGTCAAACTTGTTAACCTGATCTTTGGTGGATCACTAGTGTCAACATTGCATGGGACATACATTATCGGGCCCAAGGACTTAGGGAGATGTGTTTGTCAGGCTGCTCTGTCACAGTCCCACTCTTGACCTTCGCAAAGTAACTTTCAAGGGTAAGCTGCTTTCCTCTTGACAGGAGTGGCTGTTCCCAGGAGTGTGTCACCCCATGGGAACTGGCTGGGACAGGGCTGTGGGGTCAGCTGGGTCAGCTCCCTGCAGAGGCACAGTCAGTCCAGCAGTGGGTGACAGATCTGCTGGCATGGTCCTGTGGGGCCTCTCCCAGAGTTGGGGAAGGTTCTCCATTGATGTCCACCCTGCCCATGTCTATTCCATGAGCTCTCCCCATCCTGGCACCAACAGCTCCCACACCTCTCCTCATCCCTTCCCCAGTCACTGTCCATTTGGAGTTCACACCTGAAAACCAGAGTTCTGAGTGCAGCAGACTGGTGGGTCTCCATTGTCTGGTCCATCACAAGTCTCTCACATCTCAGTGTGCCAAGTGTGGACACTTCCAATGGGGTTGGTCACCACTGCAGAGGTCAGATAAAGGACAGGTCACCATGGGTGGCCTGGTAAGACCATGGAGGGGAGATGTGTGCTCTAGGTAAGCTCCTGTCCATGCTTCTGGGGTCAGTTGGGATTTTCAGTACCTTTATTGGGGTGGTGGATCCCCTCCCTGCAGGCTGCCATGAGTAGGAGGGGAGCAGTGCCACGGGCTGGGTGCTGGGGGGCCAGCAGGTTGGAACTGTGCTGGAGAAGATGCCTCATGTCTGGGGGAACCCGGAGGCGAATGCTGGGTCTGTGCTCCACATCGCTGTCTTCATGGGCCGACCCTGCTAATCAGCTGTGAAAGAGAGAGAGAAAGCTGGAGAGAAATCCTTCTCTCTGCTAACCTCATCACAATAAAGATTCCTATAAAGAGCTCTTATCCTTGAAGAAAATGAGGCACATAAGCAGGAATAGTAAACAAAAGGCTGTCATTTTGACCCAGGAGTGCTTCATGTTGTTGGCAACTTCCAAAAGGAAACATAAAGAGAGGCTGCATCCAAGTCCCAATTATGCAGAACTATGTGACTGATATGTCAATGAGTCCCCCCGGGAGGAGACCACCAGCACTTCCCAGTGCTGCCTGCACAGCATCTGCACCCGCCGCCATGGCCGGGCCGCCCGCGCCCCGAGCGAAGGCGTGTGTGGCATCGGAAGAATGCGGGGGACAAGGTAATGTCATGGGGAACGCTATCGCCAAAGTCCTCGCCGCACGCGCATTATCAGCGCGGGCCCCGGAGTCAGGGACTGCGGGCAGGCAGCGGCGCTTGGCGAACAGTAGCGCCGGCCACACCTGCTGCAGGCACGCTCCGGGAACGTGGCGCAGGCAGGAGGGCTGCCCCGCGCCGATAAGCTGAGTGGATGGAGATAAAATCCGAGCAGGAGATATGCTTTGCTGAGCATCAAGGCTAAGCACCAGCGAGGAGCCAAAGCACGCTGCGGCCCACCGCGGGTGGTGCGGATCCGCAGGCTCCGGCTGCGCTGTGGCTGCGAGGGAAGGAGATGGGACCAGGCAGGCTCCAAACCGACAGCGGGAGCTTTGGTGACATTGCCAGCGTTTGGGCCCACTGAGGGCACAGAGCTGTGCTGCTCCCCTGGCCGGGACAGCGCTGCTCAGGGCAGCAGCTTTGGGGCCTGTCCCCAGCCCTGACATCCCCTCCCCAGCACGTCCATGCTGCTGGCAGCCGGGGCCCCCTCATCCTTCCCTCCTCGGTGCTGCGCTTCCACAATGTCACCTGTCTCTGCCTCCTCGCTGTCCCCAGGAACCCCACAGCTGCTGGGAGCTGCCTCTACCTGGTGCCTGTGCGGCCGCTCCAGTGCGGCCTTCCCAAACCCACCCTCAGAAACGCGCCCTGAGGCGGCAGCGCGGCCCTGACCGCAGCCCTGCGCCCGCCGCAGGAGCCAGGCCGCAGCCTTGGCCAGGCCCCGCGCAGAGGAAAGTGCCCAAGGCCGGCAGGGACGTATTTACCCCCGAAAGCACCTTGCTGCAAAAATAGCAAGTGGCCAGTGTGAGGCCGGGGCTTCCCAGGGGAACAATGCCTGGCAGGAGGAAGCGGCCGCGGCCGGCCCGCAGCTCCGTCCCGCCCCGCACGGCGCTGAGCCGCGAGCTGCTGTGTGCCGGCCCGGCAGGGACCTTGAACCTGACACAGATTTATTTTCTCTGACATTGGCATCGCATCGGAACATCTGGCATGTGGCTGATAATTGCTGGGGATCGGGGCGGAAGCCACTCCAGGCCTGGCGCTTCTTCCAGAGCTCTGTTTTCATTAGTTTTTCTCCTCTCTTCAGCTGCAAAGCAAGGAAAAAACAAGCAGGGCTGTGCAGCCCGCACTCCCACTCCTCTCCCCTCAGCACCCGGGGCTCACTGCTTCCCTCACTCTGCATGGGAATGCTGCAGGGCGCCTCACTGCCACACCACGTCAGGCTGTGCTGATACAGAGAGAGGACGAAGCCTTCCCCGAGCCAGGACTGTGGGTCCGGCTGTTCCTCCCTGGTTACCAGCAGCTGCTTGGCCAGAGCAGAGCCGTGGCACAGCCTTTGCTGGGTTGCTGTGGGGTTTGCGGCAGCCACCCCTTCTCAAGGCACTGTGTCATCACTGTGGGATGAAGCAGAAAGCAGGACACTGTGCAAACATGTGGGGAGACACCGCGGTGATGGATGGACAGAGCACGGGGCCGGCAGTGAGAGCAGATCCCCACTCTGGCAGGATGGAAGGGTTTCTCATGCAGCCTCTTGCCTTGGCACTGCAATTCCTGTGTTGCACAGGGAAATCGGAAGCCGAGATCTGCCAGCACAGTGCCCATGGGTAGGACCAAGCATGGCAGTCAAACATAGGGAATGTACACATGGCAAAAACACAGCCAAGGCGTGGCTGCCTAGACCCAGGGGCACTGACTTTCCGTGAGTGCTGTTCTGGCAAATGAAGAGCTGCTGACCACTGGCGCTGTGAGCCCCAGGGACCTGGGAGTGGGGCCCTGAGTGTGGAGGAGCCTCCTCCTGTCCTCCCCTGCAGAGGAGACCTCTCAGGACCAAGGAGGCCGTGCCGGCATCCCGGTGCTGGGTGGGTGAGGTGAGCTCGCGTTCCTCCCAGAGGTGTCCTGCCCCGTGCCCTCGGCCGCCTCCCTCCTGCCCTTGGCCATAAATCAGGGTGGCCGTGGGTGCTGGGGCACTCTGGTGCCCCCCACCTCCCTGCAGGGTCTCCTTCCCAGGGCACCTTATCTGCTGCAGGGGTTCCACTTATCTTTGCTGTCACTTTCTAATGCTAGTTTATGGGCAGCGTTTTGTAGCTTAATTATGATGTTTTTCATCATGGTCACGTGGCTACAGAAGCCAATAAGGCACCGAAGTGGGTCCATCCTGGCTGAGCCTGGCCCCCATGGGGAGGAGATTGGCCGGTGTCCTGCCCGGGGCGGCGTGTGCGCAGCCAGAGCCCCAACACCTTCCCAAGAGACGCAGGTCCCCATAAATTCCCCAGCCTACCGCGGGCAGGGCAGCGGTACCCACACCCCACGGAGGCTCCTCGGGTCACAGCTCCTGGCCGGTGGCCGAGCGAGGCTCTCCCACCCGCCGGCCCCACGCGCAGCAGCCGTGCAGCCGCCTCGCGGTGAGTACGTGTCCGTGGGGGGAACCCAGTCCCCATCCCAGCCATCTCCCAGCCACGGCCGCCATTCCCCAGCACGGTGGCAGCCAAGGCCGGAGCTGGGACGCGGCAGGGCTTGACGAGGAAGCAGGAGTCGTGTGTGGGCCTCCGCTTCCCGTCCCGTCCCCGTCAGCGGGCGTGGGGATGGCGGCTCTGCAGATCACGGGCAGCAGAGCGAGGCCTCGCCACAGCCTTGGCCCTGCGGCCAAGCTGCTGCTCAGAAATGACAGATCAGGCTGCTGAGGGGCTCTGGGAGCCCAGCTGGTGGTGCCTGGGGGTCCCTGGTCACCCAAGGGTTGGGAGCTGCCCATAGGAACACAGGCAGCCTCCACACCCTGGCGGGCATGGGAAGCATCTGGGACCCCTTGACTCCTGGGGTTGGCCGAGCCTGTGCCCTGTCCCCATCCCGCACTGGCAAGGATCACAGCCTTCAGCCCTGGCTTGCTTTTGTTCCTCGCAGTTTGCTCAGTTCTTCCAACTCAGAGCCCCTCCCGGGCTCCTTTTCCAGAGCGGCAGGTCCTGCTCCGTGGCTGCCTGGCAGCTCCCCCAGCAGCTCGTGGCGACTGTGGGGGCCCTGGCCGAGGGGCTCCGCCGGGGTGGGAGCGCTCCTTCCCACCGAGCAGCGGCTGGCCCGTGCTGCAGACCGCTCTGCTGCTATTCTTAGCCCGGGCTCCATTCCTGGTGGCTCTGGTGTGATGCTCCGCTGAGCCCGTTTCCTGTTTGCCACTCTCCCTGCCAGCGCCGCTTCCTACCCGTGGGCAGCTGGCGTGTGGGGTGAGAGTGAGGGGTGAGCCAGGTGGGATGAGATCTGTGGGATGAGCCCTTCAAACAAGCCATGCAGGGTCAGCCTGGCAGGATCAGCCGCGTGGTGCCGTCAGCCATGCCGTGCCTTTGCAGGGCACTGCCAGCAGCTCAGTCCTCAGCTGTGCCAGGGCTCCAGGTACCCAGATCCTCGGGCCCCAGTGCTGCTGTGCTGGCAGCAGGCTCCCACCATGCTGGGACAGGCTCTGCACCCTGACTCAGGGTCAGCCCTGCAGGACGGGCTCAGCTCCAGGGTCTGGCTCAGAGCTGGAGCCTCCAGCTCCCCATAGCCAAATCCCGGGGCCGTGGCCTGGGGGCATCCTGATAAACAGGACATGCAGGGAGCTGGGGTGCTCCTGTGCTGATCTGCTGCTGTCATGGAACATTTCATCAAGAAACCCTAATTGTGAAGCACTGATTCAATACCTGCTGTCTGACAGGCAGACCAGGACACCATTGGGAGTGGGTGCTCCTGGTGGGGTGGCCAGTGCTAGGTCCAAACTCATCTCCTCAGTGGTGGCCCCAGAGGAGATTTCAGGAGTAGCTGCACACCCCAGTGTTCCCCACGCAGCTCTCCCTGGGCTGCAGAGGCAGCTGGTGGAGGGTGTTGGTATTTTCTCACAAAGCTGGTGGTCCAGGGCTGTGCACCGAGCAGAGCAGGCTCTTGCCCAGACTGGTGAATCTTGCTCCAGCCCCAAGATTCCTGCTTCTCAGCAGGTCCTGCCTTTCTCAGGCCAGACCCTCCAGAGAGGCTGGGGGACTTTTTCCCCACAGATGGTGTGGGGGAGCAGGGAGGGTCTCGCGTCCCTTCCCGCAGAGTGGTGCCCCTTGCCTCCCCCCTGGGGGAGTCCCTGGGGGGATCCCTGATGCTGCCGAGGCCTGGCCGAGCCGCTCCCCAGCCCGGCCGCGGTGTCCCCGCTCCCCGGGCCGGCGGGTCCCTCCGCCCCCGCCCCGTCCCCGCCGCCGCGAGCCGCCCGCTCTCCCAGAGGAGGTTCCCCAGCCCCGGGGGGCTGGCCGTGAGCCCGCACCAACATGGAGATGCTCTTCCAGGCGCTATAAAGAGCTCCGGCTCCCGCACCTGCCGCACGGTCTCCACCGCGCCCACTCCCGGTCCGCACCCAGCGCCGGGGCTGGGGCCGCCCTCCGTCCCCTTCCCCGTCCCATCCCGTACCGCTGACCGCGGCTCGTCCCGCAGCAGGGCCGCCGGAGGGGATGGACTATTCCTATGATGAGGACCTGGACGAGCTGTGTCCGGTCTGCGGGGACAAGGTCTCCGGGTACCACTACGGGCTCCTCACCTGCGAGAGCTGCAAGGTAGGACCGGCCGGGGCTCTGCGGGACCGGGGCTGCGGAGCGGGGCCGTGCGGGGCTGGGGAAGCGGGGCCGGGGCCGTGCGGGGCTGGGGAAGCGCAGCCGGGGCCGTGCGGGGCCGGGAAGCGGGGCCGGGGCTGTGCGTGACCGGCGCCTTGCGGGGCCGGGGCTGTGCGGGGAGCGCTGCACGGGGAAGAGGGGTCCGGGGCTCCGCAGGGAGCGGGGAGGGGGCTCTGCAGGGCCCGGGGCGGCGGGACCGGCCGCGGGGCTTCTCTCGCCCGTTTTCGTTAGCGGCGGATTCGCGGCCGGTGGCGGGAGCGGAGCGCGGCCGCGACGGGAGCCCCGAGCGCGGCGGGAGCCTCTGCCGAAGGCGGGTGGCGGGGACGGGGTGCCGGTGCCGGGATGCCGGTGTCGGTGCCCACCGCATCGCCGCCGCAGGGCTTCTTCAAGCGCACGGTGCAGAACAACAAGCACTACACCTGCACCGAGAGCCAGAGCTGCAAGATCGACAAGACCCAGCGCAAGCGCTGCCCCTACTGCCGCTTCCAGAAGTGCCTCACCGTGGGGATGCGCCTGGAAGGTAGGGACAGCCCGGGCGGGGGGCGGCGGGGCCGGGGACTGGGTCGGGCCGTGCGGGGACTGTGCAGTGCCGGGACCGGGCGCGCTGTCCCCGCCACCTCCCCGGGCCGGTCAGTCCCGCTGGCGCTTCGATTCCGTTTTTTCCTTCCAAGTTAAGAAAAAAATCGTTTTCTTGCGTCGTCTCCTTCTTTTCCTTGTTTCATTTTGTTTGTTTCCCCGGGGTTCCTGCTGCTACGGCTTCAACTTTCCAGGATTTTTGTTTTTTGCTGGCAGGAAGGTTGGGAAATAGCAAATAAATTACTATTTTCCTTAAGCACCTAATTCCAGAAGCCGAGACTTAAGGAAAAACGCTAAAAATTATGGGGATCGCAATAAAACTGCCGCAGACCCACCAGGAATTATATTTTTCCTCTCGGTGACATTTAGTATAACGGATTTCTGACCCCCGGGGGACGATTCCAGCCCCACAGCCGCCGCCTCTCTCTGATGTCGGCGCAGAGGATCCCGACACAGAGTCGGGCCCCGGCAGCCCGTGCTGCGGGTTCTGCAACGCTCGGCATCCGGCAACGAAACGTATTTGAGGGGACGGGTCTTTGGCACGGATGGCAGAGCAAAAGCAGAGGCAGAAGGAGCCCCCCACCCCAGAGTCAGCCGCCCCCTCCCCACATCGCGCTTGAAATCGTTTGCGTTTTGCAGGGGTGGGAGTGGGCTGAGCCCTCCCGCCTGGCCGTGGCCCGGCTGAGCCCCTCGGCCCGGGCTCGCTGCTCGGGGCACCGCGCGGTGGATCGGAACGGGCTCCGCGCTCCGCCGGGCGGCCGCTGCTCGGGAGCGGGCTGGGAGCTGCGAGCAGGAGCGCAGGAGTGAGACACAACATCGAGCTGCAAACTCAGCCCCTGCAAGCTCCCGCCGTGGGCTGCCTTCCAAAACAGATCCCAGTTCCACTCTCCTCCCTGGCTGGAGTTACTGGTGCCCTAAATCCCTCGGTGCGTGCTCTGGCTGTTTTGATCGATGTCGCAAGGGGATTTGGGCGCTGCGCAGGGGCTGGAGAGCCACGGCAGACGGCAGGGACAGTGCTTGGGGTGTCCGGGGCGAGAATGCACGGTTTCAATTTGTCCCTTTCCAGCAGTTTTTGTCGTGTACATGTGGAGGTGCTTTAGTCCCAGAGCTGTCCCAACAGCCTTTCCGTGTGCGTTTTCTTGCTGTTGGCTCCTCAGCAGAGCTGGGCAGACGAGAAAATCGCCCAGCCAAGGGCAATATTCCCATGGAATCGTCTCTTTTGTAGTAAAAAAGAGACCTGCTTTTTCAACCCCCAGTATCTGAGGTGATGCTTTGGAGGTGAGTCTATAGGTCCACAGGACAACAGCAACCTCGAGGTGATTGATTTTGGGAGGTGATTGACAGTGTCGACACAGGCACCCTTCAAAGTGGCTGAAGGGAGGTGGCAGCGAAACTTGCCCGGAGGAGAAGCACAGCCCTGGCCGAAGGCTGCCCACAGCCCTGGGCACCCTGCAGGCACTACCCGTGCCACCTTCCATGTTCCTGCCCAGGCAAAGAAAGGTGGCCAAAGGGAGGCAGAGCCTGGCCAGCAGCCTGCCGCAGCCAAGGCTCTGCACAGGGATGAGAGCAGGCAAGGCAGTGCAAGTGGGAAGGGAGGGGGGCTGCAGGGTGCTGGAGACCCCTCCTGCCACCGTGTGGGTTTGTGGCTTGGGAGTCACCTGCAGATGGTTTTGGGGTCGTTGTGGGGGTGCAGGCAATTCCTGGGTGGCTCCACTTGAGCCCCCTTGCCCTGAAGGTCAGGATGCATCATTTTCCTCTCGGCTGTCAGCTGGGACACAGCAAATGGCAAGTTGCTCCCAATCCCAAGTGTAGCACAAATAGCAGGAAAAGCAGAGCAGGAGGGAATTAAAAGGCCTTTTCTCCCTTTGTGTTCTTGCTGGGAGAGGGGAGGAGGTATATGCAGTTGCCTCTGGAGGGCTTGTGAGACCAGGCTGTGAGCACCTCTCGCTGTGTGTGGGGGTGCAGGCAGCCCTAGGAGGGTCTCTGCCCGAGCACCCTTGCCCAGGGTCGCAGGGGTTTGCTTTGGGATGTGATCTCTGGGCGTCGCTGTGCTCGACCTCGAGCAGTGGTGGGATAACATCACTTCGAGTGGGTGTGAGATTTGGGTTTTGGTGTGCTCTGGCTCTGGGGTTTGCGGCCAGGGCCACCAGACCTGCCTGTGCCAGCGCGGGCTGTCAGCCTGTCTGCCTGTGTGAGCCCCCGGCTGGGCTGTGCACACGCCTGAGTGTGGCCACCTCCCTCGGACCCGGGTCAGGAGCTGGCCGGGACAGCTCTCGGCTGCTCTGGGGAGCGGGGACACAGCACCCCTCTCTTCAGAGGCTGCCGCTGGCAGCCCGCTCCCAGCGAGATGCTGTTTTCATGAATAAAGAATGAGGGAGGAAGCCAGGGCGGCTCTCCTGGGAGCACATTCCTGCTCGTCCTGGAAATGCTGCTGCTCCCGGCCACCCTCCCGCCTTTCCAGCCTGCCTTGGGAGCGCTGGGGAGGTGCTGCAGCTCTCCGGGGGGGCTGGCTGTGAGCCCCGGGATAAGCAGGCGAAAGAAAGGCAGAGGTAACAGCTGAGAGGCAAAGCAAGAGCCGCTGGCTGTCAGCGGGAACACAAGATAGCAGAGGGGGTTTGCCTTTGATGCTCACTGCGGGCTGTTCTCGCCGGCGCACTCCTCCGCTGCCTTCCAGCGACCCGGGGCTGCTCCGAGGAGATGCCCGGGCAGCAGCCCCGGAGCGCTGCAAGGCAGTGCAGGGGGACAGGCTCCTTCTGCAGAGGGGCACCTGCTCCCTGGCATCTTGGCAGATCCTTGGGGCTTCTTGGTTTGGTGGGAACATCTGCTTTGCTGCAGCCGTCAGAGGGACTCTGCCAGCGGGATGCTCCAGCAGAGCCCTCGCCAGGGCTGGCACCCCCAGGGCTGGCACCCCAGGGCTGGCACCCCCAGGGCTGGCACCCCCAGGGCTGGCACCCCAGGGCTGGCAACCTCCTGCCTGAGGCCAGTGAGGTGAAGTGCACCCACTGCGACCTGCCAGCCGTGCTGCCCGAAAAGGGCAGAGATCTGCTGAGAAGTAGCACGCTCAGCCTGGATGGAGGGAACCAGGTCCTGAGGGGACTGTGGGGTCCCAGCTCTGCGGAGACAAAGAAATCCCAGGGCTGGTCCAGTGACACGGGTTGTTAAAACTAAAGGGAGTGTCAAATCCCCTCCTTTGCTCAGGCTTTAAGGGCTGTCCCCTCAACCCACAGGGAATGAAAGCTGCTTTTTCCCCCAGCTCCTTTTGTAGCAAAAGCCAAATGTCTCCTCCTTTCCTGCAATCCCCAAACACTCTGAGGGTGACATTGGCTGGGCTGGGAGTGACACAATCTGCTGTCAGCTTTCTGGGAAGGTTTCCCCGGTGTCCCCCAAACCCTTTTTGCTACTAAGTCATGTCCCCCAGCATTTTCTCTGTGCCCTGTGGAGGCCTGGTCTCTCTCCATGTGGGTTCACTGTGGTCTCTGCACTCTCTGTCTCCAGCTGTCCGTGCAGACCGGATGCGTGGAGGGAGGAACAAGTTTGGACCCATGTACAAGCGGGACCGTGCCTTAAAGCAGCAGAAGAAAGCTCTGATCCGAGCCAACAGCTTCAAGCTGGAGACCGTGCCTCAGATCATGTCCCCTGTGCAGAGTGACTACAGCCTGTCCTCCACCATCCACAGCATCCACGCCATGTCCAAGACCCTGCCGCCCAACCCGGCCGCCCTGACGCCCGTGGATTACGAGCGCAGCCCCTACGGGACGCCCTCCCTGGGCATGACGGTGCCCGGCCACGCGCCGCTGCCCGGCTACCACTACCCCTCCTTCCCCAACCGCACCATCAAGTCCGAGTACCCCGACCACTACACAAATGCCCACGAGGCCGTGCCTGCCTACATGTACCCAGAGACCTACCCCAGCAGCTCTCCCCCCGACATCCCCGAGGTCATCCTGAAGCTGCTGCAGCTGGAGCCCGACGAGGCCCAGGTGAAGGCACGGATACTGTCCTGCCTGCAGCAAGAGCAGGGCAAAGGCCGGCACGAGAAGCTCAGCACCTTCGGCCTCATGTGCAAGATGGCCGACCAGACCCTCTTCTCCATCGTGGAGTGGGCACGGAGCTGCATCTTCTTCAAGGAGCTGGAGGTAGGACCTGCCAGTGGGATGGGCGCTGCTCTGGGGGGACAACGGGGGACGGGCAGATTGAGGCTGCCGTGATGTGAGGACGAGATGTGGCTGTGGGCAGGACTGAGGGTGAAATGTTGTGAGGATGGGGAAACACCCGTGGGCATGAGCCTGGGGCCATCACTGCAGATCTGTTAGCACGTGCCAGTCCTGCTCCCAGCTCCCTGCAGGACTGGAGGTGCCGGGGCCCGGCTGCGATGCCGAAGCGATTCCCACTGTCGTGTGGGGCTAATGATTTCAGATTCATCACGGCGGGGGCAGGTGTTGAGGCAATCGCCGCCAGAGTGACTGTGGTGTCAAGCTCAAGACATAATTGAAAAATGTAACGTTGAGGAATTATAGTTGAGACAATTCTCTCCCCTGCCTTTAGGAGGAAAATCGATGTGGTCAGGTGGGTCCTGTTAGCACCAGGCAGCAGGGGCAGCCCAAGCCTGCTCCAGAGCCGTGGTGTCTGCTGCCAGCAGCCCACGAGTGTGCCCGGCTGGGGGACATGGAGCTCACCTCCATCCTGCCGAGACATCCCTTCTAGCAAATGTCCCTGAGCATTTACTGTGGCCAGGGGAGAGTCAGCAGGGCTGGAGCAGTTTCTGCCATCCTGCACACCTTGCCAAGTTTTCAGAAATTTTCCATTCATGTTCTGGCTGACCTAAGATCCCAAACTGCAAAAATGGGAGAGAAAATTTTGCAACATGGCCAAAACCCAGAGAACAACATCCTGGGGCAGCTGTGATGAGACTCAGGTGCTTTCTTGTGTTTCCAGCATGAGATTGTGCTGCCTAGCTTTGGCCAAAATCACTTTCTTCCAGTGGGACTGTCCTGTAGGACAAGACCAGGCTCTTCCCTGTGCCATGGGTGCCGTGGGGCTAAGTGTGGCCTAGGCTCGTGGCTCAAAATAGCCCCTGTCGTTCAGAACAGTGTCAGGAAATGGCATTGTGGGGGTGGGTTGGGCTTGTTTCAATCATATCAGTGTCCAGCCTGGATTTTGGGAACAGGGTGGTTGTTGTTTTGCAGGAGATATTGTAAACAGTGTAAGTTCAATTCCCAGCTGTATAGCTGTGTAGCCTTGTAACTCCATTGTCAGCGTGATTGTGCCATCAAAACAGGCTGTTCCTGTGTGAATCGGTGTTGGCGGGTGCTCCTCCTGCCGTGGGACTCTGAGGGGGATGGCAGTGCCACAGGCCTCACCTGGGCAGAGCTACCAGGTGTAGAGGTGGTCCCAGAGCTGCCCTGCCACGCTCAGTACAGGGGATTCAGTGCTCAGCAGGTGCCCACATCCATCGCTGACATCCTGGGGGCTCAAGTTTTTGCCTTATCCACATGGTGATTGTGGGGTGCATTCCCAGCATCTGCCAGGGCCGGGGACTGCAGGATGCACAGCCCACCCTGGCTCCAGTGGGACAGGGAGAGCGAGGCATGGCCATCCTTGGCTCCCCCCTGTGCACAGAGCCCCAGGCAGCTCCCAGCCCCAGCACGGAGCAGAGGTGCCCGGTGCCCTCGGTGCCCCTACCCGGGCTGCCCCTGCCCGCCCCACACGGCTCATCCTCCCTGGCCAGGGCAGAGGCTTTTCCTGAGGCATGAGAGAGCAGCCAGTGGGAAGCAGGAGCAGGTCTGAGAACTTGAATCCTCATTCCTGCTCCTGCCTGGCACATAACAGCAAGTGGCTGCTGGGGGGTAGATGAACTCCTGCTAGCGCAGGGTTTATGGCTCTGCCCTAAAGCCAGCACGGAGGAACATCTCCAGGATCAGTGGCACCGGCAGTCCCCGCTGGTGGCATGGGGCTCCTCAGGGCAGGGCTGCCAGCAGCCCTCTCCATCCCCAGGAAGATCTGTGTGAAGGTGATGGTCCCCAGCCCCAGCAGGGAAGGGCTCTTGGCTGTCCCAGTGCAGGATCCAGGCTGGAAAGGCACCGTGCTGGGACACCACTCCAGGGCACTGTGCCAGGCTGGCACTACATGGGAGGAGGTGCAGGCAGGTGAGAAGGGGAGGTGTGGGCAGATTGCCCATCATGGATTGCCCTGCCTGAGCTTGCCCAACACCACCATGCTCTTTCCACAGGGCTCTTAGCAGAGACCTGGCTTCTCCCCGGGGCCTCACAGGGAGCTGGAGAGGAAGGAGCAAATTTTCAGGGACATGGGGAAATGCTGGCTCATGCCTGGTTGGGATGAGCCTTTGGCACCCGCATGGGGACAATGGGAGCAATTTTCCCTGGAGCTGGCCAGTCTTGTTCCCATTGCCATTCCCATTCCCACCCTAGCAATCTGCCGAGGGCCAGAGCGGTGCTTTGCTGTCTCCACACTCCTGGCATGGTGGCTGGGCTGGGCGACACTGGGGAGAGCCCCCCTGGCTCCACCGCTGCCCCCGGGGAAGGAGGGGGGCCAGGGGCTAATGGCCTCTTGACATCGGCTCGCACGCCACGTCCGCCCGCAGGCGCGGGGCAGTGGGATTGAAAACAGATTTAACTTCCCAGATATATCGTTTCATTTAAGGGCCAGTAATTCTGTCAGTCTGCCACTGACAAACGAGGGTCCCCATGCCAATCCGCCGCGAGACTGATGTCGCGGCGCTCATCTCGTGTCACCAGGAGGAGAATTACGGACTGCGCTGGCCTTCGCAGGCAAGACTAATAACGCAGCTCGGCAGAGGGGATTTGGGGGCCCGCCTGTTTATCGAGGGCCGGCCAGGCAGCCGCGGCGCGAGGCCGCGCGGGCGGAGGTGGGAGAGGTCAGCTCTGACGCCCATAAATACGAACTTTAACTGAGTCTAGATGAGATGTGTCAGGACTGAGGGAAGATTTGCAGCATCTTTTCAGGAAGAAAAATATAGGCCGGGGGTGAAATATATTTTGTTGGGTTGTGAGTCTCAGGCAACTTTGTCCTTTCAGATGTAATTTTTTTATATGTATATGGAGACAGACAGAGGATGTGCACGCACGCACGCATGCTTGCACGCTCACATTGTGTCTGGTTTTGGTGTGGTTTATGCACGCACGTCCTGCACAGCCTGGTTTATATAGGTGTCACTGCCATACCTACATATCAATATCGTGAACACAGGGTTGCAGTGACCTTTAGATTGGGATGAGCAGCCAGGAATGTTAAACAAATTGCCACGGTTCCAGCCCGAAGGCCAGGCTGGGCTGGGTGTGCAGTGGGTCCCTGCGCCACCAAAGGGGCACAGCACAGCCGCAGGGTGGTGGGATGGTGCCGACCCCTTCCTCAGCCCTTTTGTGCCAAGGGCCTGGGGCAAACTACCCTTCCATCCACTCCAGGGATGGGGGGATGCTGAGGGCAGCACTGTTCCCACAGACCCAGGGGTCCCTGTGGTCACTGGGTCTGTCTGCTGGGCTGCTCTCCCTCAGCTGTGCTTAGAGATCCCAGAGCCATGACAAAGCCTATTTGCAGTCAATTGCTTCTCTGCCTTTAACATGTGGGTCATCTTGACCCCATCTCCTGGCCAATGGCCAGGGTGTTTTTTGGCAGATTTAAAATCTCCTTCTGGTGGTGGATGCTGCAGCAATGTTTAGCATCCCATGCACTGGGGGAAATGTGACGCTGCCCTGCCTGTGGCGCCCTGGCCAGCTCAGCCCTGCCCGCAGAGCCGTGGTGCCCGTGCAGCCGGGGCTGCAGCAGCCTGGGAGCCAGCAGGGGATGGGATCCTGGCCTGCCCACGCTGCTGTTGGTGGCTATTTGTTTTAAGATTAACATCGTGGTGGTATCTGGGCAGGGCAATGGGGACTTGCACTGACCATTAACACCTTGGACGTGTGCGGGTTTTCCATTGCGGGTGGCTGGTGGACACCAATCCACTTTCACACTTCTCAGTAGCCAAGATGAGAGGATCTGCTTGCACTCAGTAATTGCTGGGGCTGCTTGGGGTGCTGACATGTGCCACACACCTGCCAGAGGGCTGTGGGGCAAATCCTGCACCTGAGATATGGGATTAGAGCCGGAGGGCATCTGTGTGATGAGGGCAGGCCAGGGCATCTGCGTGCTGCTTGGGCCCGTGGCTGGGGATGGATGTCCTGGCACCAGCTCAGGGCTTCCTGCCAAGGAAGAGCTGCTGGTGGGGCACTCTCCTTCCTAAAGCTGTGCTACCCGAGGTGGGGCTGCCCTGATCCAGCCGTGCAGGGAGCAGTGAGCGCTGTGGGGCTGCACCATCCCTGAGCACATTCTGGAGAGCCCCAGCACTTGCAGGGGCTCCCTCACCCTGTACCTATGAACCCACAGGGAAGGCTGCAGAAGATTTAAAACTACACCCACATGCAGGTCCTGCAGCTCTGTGCCTGGGCAGTACCATCCCTGCCTCTGCATGCCCTGCCTCCCCTCCAGCACCATCCCAGACCCTTTCCCATGGAGAATTGCATTTTCTGTGGGTTGCAGCCCAGCAGGGATTGCTCTTCCAGTGTGGGGAGGGTTTCACCACGTGTTTTGGATATGGGTTAAATGCTCGCTTCAAAAAAAGATAAGGATTGCCTCTCAAAGACAGCTTGCATCAGGCCTTTGATAAAGCACTCCGAGGAAAAGCCTTGACATTAAAAGAGGAAGATCCTTTGCTTAACTTTTAACGGGGAGCGTGTGTGCTGCCGCCTGGCTGGGAGGATTGATTGCCTCTGAGTCCCTCCATTAGCAGCCCCCTGCTCCTTCAGGCCAGGCCAGGGTGGGGTGTCCCCGGTGCCCCCAGGCTGAGCCCCTGCAGCAGAGCCCCAGTGCTGGAGCGGGGCTGGGGGGGGTGCCCGCTGCACCCAGCCGGGCATGGGCACACCCAGCTTGGTGCTGGGGACAACCCCACGGACCCCAGCCAGCTCTGACTGACCCATGGAGCCCCCAGCCCAGCCCATCGTGACCCCAGGCACGTTCCCCCATGCCATGGCCATGTGGCTCTGGCGCACTGCGACGTTCCCAGGAAGCTCTGCGGCACATCGGAGCATGCTGGCGAAGGAACAGCCCTGCAGCAGCCATGAAGGGTGAAATGTGCTGCTGAGGGGCTTCAGGGGGGGAGCCAAACACCCCTCAGAGTCTGGGAGAAGCTGATTAGCAATTTTTAAAGGAAGAAAATAAGATTTCAAAATTGTTGAGGTGCTTTCTTTGGAAAAGCTGATTTTTTAGAATAGTTTTCAAGGCAAGACCTTCTGTCTGTCTCTTCTGGAGCTCATCCCGCTCAGGAATGAGGCACAGGAAAGAACTTCCAAAACAACACCGTGCCTGAGCCAGAGCAGAGGCACTCGGCACCGCTGGGATCTTGCAGCTGGGCTGGCCCCAGCTCCCTGCTCGGGCTGGCCACCGCCACAGCCGGCCACTCGCCCGCTGGCAGGGGTCACCACGGGTGCAGAGAGTCTCCAGTTGGGTTCAGTGCACAATGAGCTTTTCCCCAGGGTTTTGTCCAGCAGCTGACCAGGAGCCTCACGCTCTGAAGTGCTGGGCCACGAATGGCTGCAGCTACACCGGCTGGGGGATGAGGGACAGCCCCACAGGTGGGCAGGAGCGGTGCCACAGCCCAGCCACAGTGCCCACAGCCCCATAAGTGGGCAGGAGTGGTGCCACAGCCCAGCCACAGCGCCCACGGCCCTGCAGGCAGGCAGGAGTGGTGCCACAGCCCAGTCACTGTCACTGCTTTCCCACCCCATCTCGTTCCCCCACGCCCGGCTCTGGCCACCCACCACCCTTGAGAGACAAATCCTGGCGGCTCACGGGGAGTGCCAGCTCTGAGACCATAAAGCTCTTTCTCATCTGGCTTCTATTCCTTTTGCAATCTCCCAGGGCGGGTTTATTGCAGCCTCTTCAGCAGAACGAGGGCATTATCCAGCCCTGTGATGCTGCATCTGTCTTCCCTCTATTAACGGGGAGCACAATGGCCCTGCAGAGCTGGGCTGCTGGCACTGCATTTGCTCCTCGGGGCGGTGGTGGAGGCAGTACCGTAATCCCAACCTTTCCCTACATTGGCCCCGCAGCAGAGGGGAGTCCAGGCAGGGCAGGAGTTCAGTTCTTTGTGGAAATGAGTTGGGGTTCAGTGGAGAGCAGTGTTGAGGGGATGAAGCCAGTGACCCGTGGTGTTTCTTGGCAGGACAGTGGGGAAGGCAGCGTGCCACAGCTCCGGGGCCTTTTAGTTCTTCCAAAAGCAGCTGTTGGCACTGGCAGCTCATCCCGCCAGTCCCTGCTGCTGCCCGCAGTCCCCGGTGCCCTGTGAGACCTTTGGGGGCCCCTCCAGCCGGTGTCCTGGCTCCAGCCCCTCACAGGGACAGTTCCAGGTGTTTCTCTGGGCACACACAGCGGCACAAGTGCACGTGGGCACAAGTGCGTGCGTGGGTGCGTGGGCAGGGCCGGACTGGCAGCTGCAGGGCACAGCGATGTCCCGTGCCCAGCAGCTCCCCCACGGCCCTGCTGCCCCCCCAGCTGCCCTGCTGGCCAGGGAGTCCAGGATGGGCACTGCCTTCTTTCATTTTAAAGTATCCAGAGGGGCTGTCTGGACACAAGGCCCTTTGTGCAGCCACCGCGTGTCCCTCCCGCAGTCATTTTGTTAAAATTTGGAGGTTGTGCCTGCTGGGGGAAGACCCGTACTGATAAGAGCCTGCAAGTGCCACTGAAACATGTTGAGCTGCTCTGAAGCCAGCTCTGCAAAGCCACCTGCCCATCTCCTCTTCTCCAGCCCAGGGTCCCCCTTTCTGGGGTGCAGGTCCAGCAGTCCGTGCTCACCCCAGGGGACAGCCCCTCCCATGGGATGCCTGCCAGGCCTGGGTGGGTGCTGTGCACTGCAGCACGGTGGGTGTCAGCCGGGCTGGTCCCGCTCTGTTTCAGGTGGGTGACCAGATGAAGCTGCTGCAGAACTGCTGGAGTGAGCTGCTGGTGTTTGACCACATCTACCGACAGCTGCAGCATGGCAAGGAGCACAGCGTGCTGCTGGTCACTGGCCAGGAGGTGAGAAACAGCCTCTGGGACTGTGGTGGTGCTGTGGAGGGGCAGTGGGGATGGGCAGGGGCTGCATGGGGAAATGAAGTGACTTCTTTCTTTTGTCCCAGTGTGGCCAACTCAGCATAGGGCAGGCAGGTGGTGTTGTTACACTCTGGGTCTGCTTGTGCAGAAGGTTCCATCCTGTCCCATCCTGCCACACAGCTCCTGGTTCTGGAGAGACCAATAGCCACACCTGTACTGCCCGCGGTGGGATGGGAGGAGGGAACCCTTCCCTCCCTGGAGGTGGCTTTTGGAGATGCAGTGCCTCCAGCACCCTGTGAGGGCCCCCCTGTTTTAAATGGTGTTCCCATTCCACCCATCAGTCTTTTTTGACACTACTTCTCAGTCGGTGCTCAGAGCTGGAGCCGGCTCTGCCCCACTGAGGTGCCCTGCAGCAGGCTGTGGTGGGGCTGGGGACGGGCTGCCCAAGCTGATGCCACCACTCCTGTCCTGGCAGGTGGACATGTCGGCCATCGCAGCCCAGGCCGGCTCCATCCTGAACACGCTGGTGCTGCGGGCGCAGGAGCTCGTCCTGCACTTGCACTCGCTCCAGGTGGACCGGCACGAATTCGTCTGCCTCAAGTTCCTCATCCTCTTCAGCCTCGGTGAGTGCAGCTGGGGGCACTGGGGCCGCCGCTGCGGGGAGCCCAGCTGGCATTGGGGCTGGAGGGGCACACACAGCCCAGGGTCCGGCTGTGCGACAAGGGGCTGTTAGCGAGGAGCAGGATGGCCACAGAGGGGCTGTTAACGAGGAGCAGGATGGTGACAGAGGGGCTGTTAACGAGGAGCAGGATGGAGAGCTGGCACCGGCCCGTCCCCTCTCTTGTCCCGGGACACAAACCGTCTCCCGCTGCGGGGCCGGGCTCTGCTCCAGCTGCGGGGACATTGTCACCCCTCCGGCCAAGCGGAGCCTGTTTTGGTCGCTGGCCCAGGGCAGCGGGCAGGGAGCGGGCGCTGATACGGCTGCGATAACAGGGTGTGTTGGCTGCCAGGGGCGGGCGGGCAGGGCCGGTATCTGCGGCCGTGCGTCAGCGAGCCGGGCACCGGGCTAATCCCCCGATTAGGCTCAGCCCGGAGCCCGCGGTCGGTGCAGCTCCCGCCTGGCCCAGACTAAATAACAGCGGAGCCCTGAGCGCTGTGCCAGGGCCGGAACGCGCCTGGCGGGCACAGCTCCTGCCCCTGGGAGCCGTGTGCCGGCCGAGCCCACCGTGAGCCCACCCTGAGCCCACCGTGAGCCCACCCTGAGACCACCCTGAGCCCACCGTGAGCCCACCCTGAGCCCACCCTGAGCCCACCGTGAGCCCACCCTGAGCCCACCCTGAGCCCACCGTGAGCGCACCGTGAGCCCACCCTGAGCCCACCCTGAGCCCACCGCCGCCTGTGGCAGAGCTGTGGCCGTCCCCAGCCTTGTCCCCATCCCCGCCTGTCCCTGTCCCCATCCCGCCTGTCCCTGTCCCTGCCTCGGCTCTGTGTTTGCCCTTCCGCGCCCGCGGGGTCCGGCCAGGCACGGGCGGTGGGAGCCGCGCCGCTCTCCCGTCCTGCAGCTGCAGCATCTCCTCCCTCAGCTTTCCTTTGCCCGGAGCTGTTTAGAAACGCAGAGAAGCGAGAGACGATAAATCGCTGCCCGAGCAGTGATAAGTGTGGCACAAACAGTGCCCAGGCTGGGAAATGATCGAGCCGGGGGGGCCGAGCCGGGACCTTCCCCGGCTGCTGCCCCGCGGATCCCCCCTCGCTGCCCGGGTCCCCCCGTGTCCCCTGGCATGGCACAGCACAGCGAGCAGGAGCACTGTCCCCCCCTTAGAGCTGCGGCTTTCGGGGAAGGCGTAGAATCCAAAAGCTGTGTTTTCCCATACATCATTTTGCCCCAAATGCAACTTTTTCTCTCCATATTGCAGAGCTCACTTGGAGTAATTTGCCCTTCGTAGGCTCAGCTGTAGAGGACGGGATTGTGTATTATGTGCAGGATGTAATTGCCTTTAACAAGAGAATTTCCACATTTACCACTCTGCCACAGCACAGTCAAAGCCAAGCCCTGTTCACAAGAGCTGCCATTTGAGTTCTAAATAGATTTCTCTCCTGAGCAGGTAAAGAGATTTAATTAAAATTAGGGCTTCTCAAAATAGCAATATTTATGAGGACGGCACAGGTTAGCTTTGTTCTACAGAAGGGCTTAATAGAGCCTTAATGGATTGACCTATCATTCGATTTCATGACTTACATTCATGAAGCAGCTACTCTTGGGGAGGGGAGGAAGAGAGGCTTTTATAGCCCACATTCCCTTAAGCGTTTGCAATTTATCAGCAGCTTCTCCCAAACAAAAGGAGCTGTGAATAGGAAGAACACTTGAGGGCATAGAAATAATCCCAGGCATATCTGTATGTGTGATGGGAGGCTTTGTCACAGGACAGTCTTTGCAACTGCTGCAGTGTCTCTAAATGAAGTGAGTCAATGTTATTTGGACAACATTCTTTATTCCTTGCAGGAATGAAAAGATTATTCAAATATTCAATTAAACAGTGAATAGGGTCTTTCAGAGAACCAGGTGAGTTCATCGAGTAGAACTAGCTATTGTTGAGCCAACTCAGGGGATAGATTTGACATTTATCAATATAACTTCTTTTTTTTAATGACATGCACAATAACCTTATGCAGATAAAGAGATTTCATAACAACAACCCGGGTAGCAGGAGACAATAGGAGCAAATGTGCTGTCAGAGTGAAAAGGGAAGGGTGATCTGATCCGCTGCAAATTGGCACAACCTGTGCCCTTTGTGCCTGCCCCCACAGTGCCCGTGGCCGTGGGCATGGCCCGGGTGGGGCTCCCTGGGGGCTCACGGCCCCCCGGCTGTGCTGTGCCTCCCCTCCCCTCCCTGGGGCTCCAGGGACCCCCCACACTCCACTCCAGCTCTGACCCTGGCTGGGCTGCAGCAGCCTTGGGCACCACGATCCCTCCAAGGCAGCCCCAGAGCCCAGCTGCCCGGCCAGCCCCTGTGCCCAGATTTGCCCGTTTCCAGGCGGTGAGTGGGAATTTGGCACATCAGGGTCTGTGTGCAGCACAGCCAGAGGGGCTGTGACCGAGGCTCTGCTCCCAAGTGCCCCGTCCTGCACAGTGAATCCACTGAATCCTCTTGCCCTGGGTGGGCCGTGCCAGGGTGGGCAGCGAGGTCTGTGCTGGGCAGGTGAGCGGGACCGTGGCTGTGTGCAGCTGCAGGTGGCAATGGGGCAGTGCCCAGCACTGGTTCCTAAAGCCACCGAAATCTGTGTGCGGGGGTGATTGGCCCTGCCTGCACCTCGGTGCCGCTGCCTGCTGAGCTGTCACTGCCCTCTGGCACCGGAGCTGGCAGCAGGATCACGGGAAGCTGCCGTGGCCCTGGCGAGGTGTGGAGGATTAGGGTTTCCAGGCTGGTGAGCCTGGTTGCCACATTGGAAAGACCAGGTTTATCAGGGAATTAATTCAGCCGCTTCCTCGGCCTTCAGGAATTAAGGAGGGCTGAGGCAGTGACTCCCAATGTGCTGGCACAGCTGGCAACACCTTCTGGCTTTGCAGCTTCCTGGGCAGTAGGGGCAGGGAGACACCAGTCCTACTGCCAGGGGGTTTGGAATCTGTCTTCAGCATCAGGGAAGACCTGGGCAGCAGGGTAGGAATGGAGAGCCCACGGCTGGGTAGGGACGGGGTGTGTGCCCCCTCCTGCACTGTGTTTTCATGCATGAGGGACATTGACCCAGGAGTGTGGGTCCCTCCTGGGGGGCAAGTACAGTGTGGCAGACCTGTGAGTTCGGTACCATCTCATGCCCCTCCTTCCCCCTGCAGACGTGAAGTACCTGGAGAACCACACGCTGGCCAAGGATGCTCAGGAGAAGGCCAACGCGGCGCTGCTGGAGTACACGGTGTGCCACTACCCCCACTCCACGGACAAGTTCCGCCAGCTGCTGCTGTGGCTGGCCGAGGTCCGGGCGCTGAGCCTGCAGGCTGAGGAGTACCTGTACCACAAGCACCTCAGCGGGGAGGTGCCCTGCAACAACCTCCTCATCGAGATGCTGCACGCCAAGCGGACTTGAGCGGCGGCCGGCAGGACCCGGCAGCACCCCAGTGCCTCCTGCAGGGGCAGGAGCGGTGCCCGGGGCTGGCAGCGCCGCCTCCACCCTGCCTTCCTCAGTGATGCTATTTAACCTCTGCTATTGGAAACGCCCCAGAAGGTTTCGTTCGCAGCAAGGACAGCTGAGGCTGCAGGGCCGTGGCTTGGCACTGCCCCGTCGGCAGTGCTGCCCTCCAGCTCCGCTGCACACCCGGTGCCCAAACCTGTCCCTTGCCAACCCAGCTCAGCAGCACCAAGGAAGGGGAAAGCCTGTCCTGGCTTTTCTCCTATTTCTGCTCCTCTCCTGCTGCCTCCACCAGCTATTTCTTGACTGCCACCATCCCTCCCCGACCCTGCCCGTGTCTCAGGGCCCCTCGTGCACAGGGCAGGAGAGAGGGGAGGTGAAACCCCTCCAGGCTGTGGTTTTATGGTGGTTGAGGTGTCTCCAGGCACTAGAGAACACAGAGATGGTGGATTTCTGGAGGAAATCCACACAGAATGCAGGGGCTGGGCTGGAGCTGTCAGGCCCTTGCAGCAGTGCCAGGACCCCAAGGTGCAGATGCTGGGTCCCAATTGCTGCCAGCTCTGTCCTGAAGCTGACCTGGCCAAGACAGGGCAGGCAGGGATGGGCAGTGCTGAATCCTCAGCTGAGGTGCGTTTTCCTGGTGCCTGCTGGTGCTGGAGGCAGGAGTTCTGTGGCAGCCGCAGTGCCCAGAGCCCAGAGCTGCCCGCGGGCAGCACAGCTCACTCCTGCCCACAGGTATGGGGGCAGAGCAGCCAGGCAGGAGGGAGGTGCAAGCTCCAGCACGTGCCCAGGATCTCGGGGAAACTTGGGGGGCTCTACAGTGCCCCCCCTGCATTTATCTGCTGAGTGAGTGGGTAAGGAGGAATAAGGATTGACCTGCACTTCATGCTGGGCCTCCTGGCCCCCTCCTTCGCTCTGCCATGTCCCCAGGGGACAGCAAATACTGTGCCAATGCCACAGGCAGAGAGCTCTCTGTTCCTCTCCCATCATGGGGCCGGGGCTCACAGACAGGACTGGGAGCACTGGGGGTCTCAGCCCCCCCAGTCTGGGCCGTGCTGGACTCTCACTGTTGCTTTGTCTCGGTCTCAGCTGTGCTCTCTCTCCTGTGCCCCATCCCCGGGGCTGGCACAGCCCCTGCCCCACAGCCCCCGGCCCTGGGGGTCCTGCAGCACGGCCGGGGCTGTTCAGGGGTGTCCCCAGGGCAGGGATGTCCCCGTCCCCAGGGCAGGGATGTCCCCGTGGCCAGGGGCAGCCCTGCAGAGCCGGTGCCTTGAGGAGCCACAGAGGCTGCGCCCGGACCGCGCCGTTTGTCAAGCTTGTTAGACACAGAAGAAAGAGCATGTTTGTCTCTGCTTTAACACGTTTGTGCATTTTCCTCCTGAAGTCTGTGGTTCGGTTTCACCTTCTTCTTTTTGTGAACTTAACTGGAGAAAATGTTTTGGGAGGTAAAAGACATTTTATTTTCAGAAATTGAAAAGTGTCCTTAAGTGTCTCTCTCTGTCTCTTACATCCTTTCCTCCCTCTCATCCCTGCCCTTCCCCACTCCTCCCCCTTTCTTCCCAGGCAGAAGGTTACCAACTTCCTTGTCAGGAGCAAACCACTGTAATAAATTTTGCAGTTCATTTAAAATGGCAAACTTTGTCTTTTTTGGCTGTCTTTCTAAGCCTTGTGGTTGGTGCTCGGCACAGGGAGGGCTGGGTGTTTGTGGGTGCACTCCTGGGGTGTCCCTGCCTCCATGGGACAGGGACAGCGTGGCTGTGACGGGGGGCTGCTGCTGCCTTTGCTTCTGGGCACCCCAGATAGGTTCAAAGGGCTGCTGGGAATGGCCATAGTGACTTCTAAAGTGTTTTGCAAGTGAGTGCAGGAGCAGCAACATCTGTGGGCAATTAGTGGGCAGTGCCCTGGTCCTTGCAGCATGGCCAAACCCCCATCTCTGCGCTCAGCCACGCAGAGCTGGACATGAGCCCCTTCCCTTGGACACAGTGCAACAAGGAGAGGAGGTTGTCTTTAAAATCATCATTTACTGTTGTCGTAATCAGCAAAAACCCACCACATTTTCTGTTTTCTAAACACTACAGAGGTAACAGGAGAAGAGGGAAGGAAAGCAGAGCCCAGCTGGCGAGGGGCCAGGCCAGCTGGGCAGGAACCCAAGCAGGAGCAGGGAGAGGATTTTTGTCCTAAAGAGCAGAAGATGCTATTGATGTCAGCTGGTTTAGAAAGGGCTTGAAGCCAGCTGCTGGCTTCCCTAGTGCCTGTGCTTGGTACACAGCCCGTCCCAGCCCTGCCCCAGCTCAGGGGTGCTGCCATCCCCACAGGCACGGGAGCCACGGGCAGGCTGGGCTTGTTCCCATCCTTCTGCTCCAGCTCCCCCAGGCAGCCACAGCGAGAGCCACAACCCTGCCCTGCCAGGCTCAGGGCTGGCAGCGCTGCCCCAGAACAGCCCTGGCAGAGACTGGCACTCACTCCTACCAGAACACAGGTACCCACCCAGGAGAGGAGCAGGGCAGTTGTCAGCAGCAGACAAAGTCCCATGAGACCCCACACTGCCCCTGCCTTGGCTTGGCAGCACGTGGTGCTGGGAAGGGGTGCAGGGTGTCAGCTCTGCCTGGGCTGGAAGCTCTCCAAGGAAAGCCAGCTCCTCCAACCTGCCATCCTTCCTGCTGGAGAACCCTCTGCATTGCAGGCTCCTCACCCAGAAACTTCTCAGAAACCTAAAGCAAAAGAGAAAAGGTCTCAGCTCTGCTGGCAGCAGGGTAGGGCAGGGGTCCCTCCCAGGCAGGGGGAGAACTGGCAGGACCCCACAGCACAAACCTGCTGCAGGACAGAGCTGCGGGTGCAGCTGGCACCAGGCTGGCACAGCCAGCCCTGCCTGCCAGTGCTTCAGCTCTGCCACCCCAGAGACCCCCCTGCTCCTTTGGGGGCCTCTGGAGCATGGTCCTTGTGACAGGGAGCCAAAGCAGTCTCCATGCAGGGCCATGGCTGTAGGGAAACCTCTCCTTCCCTGTCAGCCATCGGCCTGAGCACAGCACCCAGTGCTGGGGGCACGGAACAAGGAGCTTTAAATGGGATTTAAGGAAAAGAGCAGCTCTGCCATGGCAGGAAGCACCGGTGCCCCACGGGCTGCATCTCCTGCACAGGGTACACAAGGCACTCCTCAGGAAGGGCCATGGCACCGGCGGTGATCCTGCCACAGCCGCCCAGCAGGGCTGGCATGGACGGGGCCTGCATTTCTCCCCACGACACTCAGGTGCTTTTCTGGCTTTGAATCCCAAAGACCCATAAATTCCTTATTATTTCAAACCAAGCTTATGGAACACAATATGGTGAGAGTTGCAGAATTACTCAGTATCGATCAGTGGAAGGCTGGGCTGTGGAGACAAGATCCATGTTGCTATGTGTGGCTTAGCAACATATAAATGTATTCAAATAGAATAATGAAATTATCGTGAGGAAACAAAGCAGCCATCACTTGAGGAGATGGAGGATGTGGAGGCCTCTTGGAGCCCTTGTTTGCCAAGACAAGGAAGATGGGAGTTATTGTTTGTGCAAATATGTGAACTGCCCCAGCCATGCCCTGCTCACAAAAAGTGTGTAATGAAGCCAGGCAGGGCTCGCTGCACAGAGCAGCTCGCTACAGCGGGGCTGGAGCTCATTACTGCACAACTGCTCCATGGGCTGAGCCCCTGGGGGGAGGCCATGCCTGGCTCTTGCCACAGCCACGCTGCAAAACTCCCCATTGCTCTGGTTCTGGCCTGGCATTCACGGGGATTTTATCCACCCTCATCCTCACCCACCTCACCTCCCCATGGAACCACTGTCTGGCTCTTGCCCCTGGAGCCAGTGCACTGCCCAGAGTGTGGCTGAGGCCCTGGAGCAGAGAAGGGCTGGACCCATCCCAGATCCAGCACAGCTTTCCTGGGAGAGACAGGTGGGCTTCTGTCTCTGCCACAGCTCCTGCTGGCAGCAGCACCATTTTCATCAGCTGGCTGGCAGCTTTCTAGTAAAGAAATCTGGGGCTAAACACATCTCTTTTCATTAAACTATTTAGGACACAACAAATAGAAGGGGGACAGAGTCGTGCTGGATTGATCTGTCCCCATCCTGGCACCCAAGGGCTCTGCAGCGCTTTGCTCTGTGGGCAGAATGTGAAGGCACACGCCTGTGTGAGGCTGAGCTGCCCTGAGGTCCCCCAGCACCCTGCAGCTGGGCATTACAGCCTTTTCTTCTCTGCTTTAGTGGCTGGAGGCTCTCGTGGCTGAGCCTGGAGCAGCGGGGGCTGCACGAACACGAGAGTGAGAGGAGAGCTCTTCTGGTTTGAGATCTTCTCCTTCAGCCCAGCCTCAAGGACTGCCCGGCCACGGGGGCAGCCCGGGGGGCTCAGAAAGGCACAGCACTCCTTCCACCCCTGGCACCGAGCCCAGCCTGGTGTTCCATCACCCTCTCTGCAGACCTGGGCTTCTAAAAACCCACTGAGGGCTCACCTGAGAAAATAAACCCAAACTAAACAACCCACTTCTCTGCACAGCTGCAGTTTAATAACACGTGGGTTGTAAGAGATGCAGAGGAAGGTGAGGGTGGGTGGACAGAGCGCAGATGCCCATGGTGAGTGCAGGTCTTGCTGCCTCTGAGACCCCATTTCTGTGCCCAAAATGCCACTGCACAGCTACTCCTGGCTGCCACCGTTTCTGCCTTTCTCACATGTCCAGTGTGGGGAGGAAAGCTTGCCTTGACAAAAGAAAATGTCACAATGCAGAAAAATGATCATTCCACTCTTGGTGTGTCCTCACTGCACTGTCCACTTGAGGGTCCCCATCCAGAAGCTGCACTGGGAGTACCCAGCAGTGGTTGTTAAAGAAAATAAAGTGAAATATGCTGCATTTGTATTCTGAGGAGATGGGGACTTGCCCAAAGCCAGGCTGGGAAACGGAGGAGGTAGCAGGGAGCTGCCATTCAGCAGAGGCCTGGGGCTTAGGAGGGATTTCTGGTTTTAATTCTACCCACCTCCATGGTGACATTGGCCTTTCTACAACCTGAAACAGAAGAAGCTAAATGGCTGTTTTTAAGCTCATAAATCCAGCCCTGTCTGAATACCCACCTTCCCCAGCTTCCCTTCTTTGGGATCATGGCACTCCCAGCACCCACCAGTGCTTTCTGCCACAGCTACTGGTTTAAAACAGCCCAGGGCAGAGAGAGCTGCTGCCCCGTGGAAGCAGCCCAGGCCCTGCCACAGAGCAGTGGGGCTGGGGGCAGGCAGAGAGCTCAGCACCAGGAGCTCTGCCCCCTGCCCATGCCAGACAAGGACGGGCAGCAGGAAAGGTGCAGAGACACGGGGAGAATCCAGGCAGGTGCTGGGCTGGGACCTTGGGCTGAGCCAGCAGTGCTGCTGGGAGAGGCAGTGCCACTGGCAGGGCTGCTGGGGCTCCACAGCCCCCAGCTGTCCCTCACCTGCTCGGGGGACACAGATTTCCCACAGCCTGGCCAGGACAGCACCCATCAGGGCAGCTTGGAAAGAATACAATTCCTGAAGCCTGAGCAGAAAGCAGCTGCCCTCTGGGCAGCCCTCCAACACTCCACCACAAGAACCAGCACCAACAGCAGCAAAAACTACAGAACATGATGTAGGCAAAGGTTACCTGAGCACTTGAACGCTGTCAGCTCTACGGCCTGGAAGAGGGGAGAAGGTGTGTTAGCAGAGGGTATGGGTCGGATGGCTCTGTGCTGGCTGTCCCCAGCACACTCCCTGGGGCCAGGCAGGGCTCCCCAGAGCCCACCCACCCCCTGCCCCAGCACTGAGGCACCCACTCCCCCACACAGGCTGCAGGGCAACCCCCTGTGCTGCGGTGGGAAGAGCCCACACAGTCTGCACTCTGTGTTTAAAGGATGCTTAATGCTCTGGGAGATGTGAAATTCCTACTCCCAGTCCAACAACAACAAAGATCACCAAACAACATTTAAAAAAGCTGAAACACTAAGAACATCTTTTCTGTGTTTGCATCTCCATTCGCTCAGTGTTTTGTCATTTTAAGTGTTTTCAAACGCCTTTAAGTAGCATCTTCTCTTCATCCCAACTATTGTGCAGCTGCCAGTGACATTCTGAATCCGCCGCTGCGCTGGCGAGCGCCGTGACTCAGCCAGGGAGCAGGAACAGCCTGGCTTACATAACTGAGGGCACTGACAGCAGCCCCAGCTCCCCCGGCGCAGGGCACACCGAGAGGGCACGGGCGAGCCCAGCCCCTGCATGCCTGGTGCTGTGCCGTGCCCAGGACTCTCTGTGCCCAGCCTTGCCATGCCCAGCCCTGTGCTGTGCCCAGCCCTGTGCCATGCCCAGCCCTGTGCTGTGCCCAGCCCTGCCATGCCCAGCCGTGTGCTGTGCCCAGACTTGCCATGCCCAAGACTCTGTGCCCAGCCCTGTGCTGTGCCCAGGACTCTGTGCCCAGCCTTGCCATGCCCAGGATTCTTCGTGCCCAGCCCTGTGCCATTCCCAGCCCTGCTCTGCCCAGCCCTGCCATGCCCAGGATTCTTTGTGCCCAGCCCTGCCCAGCCCAGCCCTGCCCAGCCCTGCCCATCTCTGCCCTGCCCAGCCCTGCCGTGCTTCACAGACCCTGCCATGTCCGCCCTGGAGCTTCGGCACCTGCCTTGGCCAGGAAGGGAAGGAGCACATTAAAAATGCAATGTTTGTGCAGCAGAGATGCAGCAGAGCCCTCCGTGACCCTCGGCCTAGGGAAGCACTTGCTGTCTTTGCTGCTCAGAAATGGCACGGCCTTGGCATTTAGGGGATCTGCTGCCTCCTGACGCCTCTGCCTCAGGGAGCTCGGGTCCTTGGGCTAATCCCCACGCCTCTGTCGGTGCCAGGAGCTCAGCCCTGACCCTGGCTCACACAGCCAGCACCTGGCTGCCTGAGAAAAGCATCACCTGTGAGTGAGCCCTGGTGCTGTTCGGCATTAACCACAATATAAATCATGAGAGATGGAAATATAGATTTTACTGAGTGCCTTCAGAACGATATGCCAGCTGTAGAAGTATTATCTATTGGATAAATAAGAGCTGTCTATGTGACATAGGTTTTCAAAGGATAAATATTAGAGAGGGAAAGAGAGATCCTTCAGTGAGAGACTCATGAAAGTAGTGCTGGATTTTATTCTGAGGGAATTACAGCACTTGTATGTCAAGTACACAAGGACTGATGATCATTTCAAAAGCAGGAGATGGAAGTGGGAGCAGAGTAGTCAAATTTAAATTGTTCCCTGCTTTCGGCCGTGCCTTGCCTGAGCTCTCCCTCCTGATGCAGGCAGCACAGTCCTTCTGGGAGAGGTGAGAGCCCATGGCACCTGCCCCACTGACTGATTTAAATTGCTGTCCTTGGGAAAGTCTCCTGCTAGATCCACACCAACCTCAGCCCAGGGCTTCATGGCCTGAATTCAGCAACACCTCATGTTCCTGTAGGGCCCTGCTCTAAGCACCCTCCTGGATCCCCATGGGCTCAGGGTGAGCCTTTGCCTTGGAATTCGACTGCTCTGGGACCCTGGTGTCCCCCTGGGCAGGTTCAGGTCCCTGCAGAGCTGCTGTGCTCTGGGAGGGGTGAAGGAGGAAGGATAACCAGGTGCTACATACCGGTCTCTCGGCTGACATAATGGATGAGATGCCCATGGGAATTTTGGCTCCAAAATTTCCTGAAGGGTGAAGCAGCGCAATGAGTCCATAGACCAGAGAATGGAAATATTCTTGCTTTCCCAAGAACTTGGTACTTTGTGTCCCCCACTAAAGCAAAGGGACCAAATGGGTTTTCTGCATCACTGCACCCACAAAGTGGTTGGAGAACGCAAAACCTTTTTCCACAAAGCCAAAATCCCTATTTTCAACTGTCACCTTTGCCTCTCTTCCATAAAATAAATTTTAAGACACTAACATGGATTTTTGCCTCAGGAGAATGCAATGCTGCCTAACATGCTGATGAGACCACCCAGCCAGGCTGCGGCCATGGGCCTGATCCACATGCACGAGGCTCTGCCTTCCCCTGCAGCAGCAGCAGCAGCAGCCCCCGTGCTCACACAGGCACAGTGTGCAAAGGAATTCATGCAGTGCCAGCTGCACTACGATTCAAGTCTCGGGAAAAGCATTTTACTGTGGTGTCACCAGCCAGGCTGCACTAACAGTGACAACAACGCTCTTACCTTTGCTGGTGATGTTCTTCACTGGAGGGTCTTTCTGCACAGGGCCTGGCAGGGCAGCCTCAGCTGCAGGACTCAGCTTCCCCGTGTCCCAGGAGGTCGTGTTCCGTGGACTGGATAAGTAGTTGATTGGATGAGAGCAGTTCTGGAACGACAGGCAAGAGATACAGGACAGTGAAAATTGCAAGGAGCCTTTGCTACACCCAGATCCAACATCAAGGATTGATTTCATCATCACTGCTTTGGCTGCCACCCACTCTGGCAGAGCAGGCTGCTGCCTACTATGGGTAGACTATCTTTGGGTCTGTGGTGTCCAGCAAGATCACAAAGAAGGCAGACAGAAATTTAAAAATCAGATTTCTTTCCACCATCATCTCCTCAAAGCAGACCCACAGTGCAGCTGGGACCCTCCTCTGGTGGGTGGCTGGTGGATGAAGGGGCAGCAGGGATTCTTTCCAACTTACTGTGAATGAGAGGGCTTTCTTCTTGTCCTTCATCCTCTGGATGGCATTCCTCACCTGGAGCAGAGCAAGGACATGAGACAGAGCCACACCAGCAAGGAATGGAGAAAAAGCAGCCACAGTTCCAGAAGCACAATGGGGCTGTGCTGCCTGTTGCAGCTGCCAGAACCCAGCTCCTACCTCGCTGTTATAGATTGCGTAGACCAGGAATATGTACAGGCCCTGGAAGGGAGAGAGCGGAGGAAGGGTCAGAGATGTACAGCTGGTTTGTGCTGCTGTACATGGAGCAAAGAGGCTCAGGGAGCACTGGGATGGGTGAGGCTGGCACAGATGGTGGGCACAGTCCAGCCAGGGACAGGCAGGCAGGAAGGACCTTCCACACTTGAGAGCAGCTGTTGACAGAGTCTGCTGCGCTCACACACCAGGAGAGGAGCAGTGAGCAGTGTCACCTCGGCCACCACGGCGCTCTGGGCACAGCTGTGTGAGGGATGTGCCCAGGGAGAGTGCCCAGGCCAGGCCCAGAGCGAGCATTGCCTGGGGCCACAGCCTGGGGCTAATTACAGCTCCAGACCGACGATTCTGGCCTTAAGGCAGCCCTATCTGGCCCAGCAGATTTATGTTATATCTGTGGGTGTTTTGTTATCGCAGCTAGATAAATCAGCTGCAGCAAGAGATGCAATTCATCTTGTCTCCAACGAGCCTTGCTCTCATCTGCGAGCTCTTGGCAGGCGCAATGGCAGCAGCCCCCCTGGCACCGCGCCGTGACCTGTCCTTCAGCCAGCAATGCTGGTCACTCCCCCAGACCAGATTGCTGGCCAGGCTTCCAAGGCAGGTCTTCCTTGAAAGAATCATTCTGGATGAGCGTGGGGAGGGGGGAGCGGAGAGGTCGGCTGGGAGGAGAGCAAGGAAGGAGAGGAGGCCCAGCTGCAGCAGTGGGCGGGAGCAGGGATGCAGCTCTGGGGCAGCCCCGTCCTGCCCCCTCCCCTTGCACCCTGCTCCTGCCCCTGCACAGCTCCTGCCCCTGCCCCTGCTCCTGCCCCTGCTCCTGCCCCTGCCCTGCTCCTGCCCCTGCTCCTGCTCCTGCCCTGCTCCTGCCCCTGCCCTGCTCCTGTCCCTGCTCCTGCCCCTGCTCTTGTCCCTGCTCCTGCTCCTGCCCCCTCCCCTTGCACCCTACCCCTGCCCTGCCCCTGCCCTGCCCCTGCCCCTGCCCCTGCCCTGCACCTGCCCCTGTCCAGCCCCTGCTCCTGCTCCTGCCCCACAGCCCCTCAGTCCCTCTCGCCCTTCAGTCACTGCCTGGCTGCAGGAGGAGTTGTCATGTTTGGGGCTCTGAAGACAGGCCTGGGCTTCTGCAGACAAGCAGAAAGCAGTCAAACCAAAACAACCCCAGCAACAGAACAACTGCACACGTGAAGAAACACTCTGGCCTCAAAGGAAATTCCAAGTGATCCATAGGAAGTAAGGAAAGGGGCTGAAACAGGATGGCTTTCTCTCAACCCTGCAGCCTCTCACCAGCATTTATTTCTTCTCTGGGGCAATCTGCAGACTGTCCTGAACTTGGTAATGAAGGGGCAGAGGCAAGTGAGTAGGGCACAGCCATGTGTGTCACACAGCTCTGGGCCTGCAGTTCTCTCCTGCTCAGTAACCCAAGCATGGCATGAGGAGACATGGAGAACTGATGCTGTTTAATTATCACCAAGACAGGCCTCCTGCCATCCTCCTGATACCCCTAGGAGCGGGGATGTGCAGAGGCAGCCCTTGTCTGGCCTTGGAGCCTCCCATCGGGCCTGACGGATGTGCGTGAGCAGCACCCGGCTGCTGGAGCAGCGCCAGCCCCTCAGCACATCCCCGAGCAGCCACCCATCTTGTGCACGTGGCGATAAGGCCGGGATTCACCCCGGAGAGCCGGGCCAGCGCCGCGCTGGAGCAGCCAAGTGTGCCAGAGGGAAGCGCCCAGAGCCGCTCCGCCACACGGCAGGAGCCGATTTCTACTGAAACAGAGGAAAAACGGGAGATGGGGCTGCAAAACTCTAATCCCACTGCTTTGGAGGGCAGTGCCCAGTTGCTCCCTTGACTTGGATCCCCTAGAGTAGGATTTGTGCTCAAGCACTGGGCAAGGAACCCTGAATATGCAGTGCCAAGGGCTGGGACAGGCCAGGGAGTGCCCTTGGGCACCTCTGGTGAGGCACAGCCTCGGCCCCAGGGCTGGGCTGCTCCACGCTGTGCCCTCAGGAGCTGCTCCACGCTGTGCCCTCAGGAGCTGCTCCACGCGGTGCCCTCAGGAGCTGCTCAGGAGCTGCTCCATGCTGGGCCTTCAGGAGCTCCCTGCTTCCACCTGCCTGCCGAGAGCTCCTGGTCCCCTCAGGACCGTGCAGGGAGCCGTGGTGTGCAGCAGTGTTCAGGGGTGTTCAGTGCTTCTCTAGCTCCATCTACAGCTGCCTTCTCTCAAGGTTGGCAAGGCCTCTGTTGATGCTTTGAACTGCAGGTGGCAAGCACATGTTCCAGGAGTTTTTGTCACCGTGTGTCCCTGAGTTGCAGATATCCCGAGGCCCTGGGAGCAGTCCCAGCCTGGTGCAGAACTGAGCTCTCCTGGCTGCTGGGACTTACACAGTTTGCTTTGCTCTCTTAACCACATACAGGCTGGCTAAACCTTTAAAGTCTTTTGATGAAAACAGTAAACTCAGAAGCAAATATTGAGTGCTGCTTTATGCACCAGGTGATGAAGTTACTTTCTGCCCTCCAGAATTCCCTATTAACACTAACTGATACACAACGTGACTGCAATAGTGACAGTCACAGCCATGGCCGTGAAGATACCAAGACAAGCAAAAAGCCTTAAAAATGTAGCCAGGTGGTGAAGAGGAATGAAGAGCATGAAGGAGATGATATTACCCACACAAGGTCTTGCAAGTCAGAGCTAGAAACAGCCCCCAAACTTTCAGTTGTCCCAAGCAAGGCTCTGCTCACCAGCCCACCAAAGCTGGCACACCAAACACTCCTGCATCTCACCAGATCCCAGTACAGCTGGCACTGGGCACTGGGACCATCCCTGGGGAGTAGCTGCATGGCTGCAGACAACATGGATTTCAGAGGTAAAGATTTTTCACTTCTTGATTCTTAGTTCTTCCCCAGTATCCCTCAGGGGGAAGGGGAAGGTGGCTGAGCCTGTACTGTTCACAGAGGTCACAACCTCTCAGAATGTCTGAGCAGGAGCTAGATGGAAAACACCCATCTGGAACACACCATGCAAGCAGCAGTCAAGCAGGCTGTGGCTGGATGTGACCTTTGACAGGCTCTCCTCCAGCAGCCCTGCTCTGACAGGGACAGAGGCACCCTGTCCTGCAGGAGAGGCTCATTTCCCAGGAGCAAACAGCAGGAGGGATGTCTGCCCCATTTGACTGCCCAGGTACCATTTTAATTACCCATTATACAAGCAAATAAAAACTCTAATGAGTTTGTCACTGTCATTTTGAAAACACACTGATGTGAGAAAAGCTAGTACAAGAAACAGGATCTGAACTGGAAACCTGTGTCACCAGTAGGACACTGCTAGAAACTGGTGCTGAGGGCCATTAGATGTGCAAGGTCTCCAGGGTTATATTTTGTATCTTGGAAGGATGAAATGAGTTTCCTCAGGCAAAACAGCCCAGTGGCTTGGGAGAGCTGGGCTGGCTTCAGAGCTAAGTGTCCCTGGCTGCAAGGACAGGTAGAGAGCACTGCAGGTGCCTGCCTGGCCCTGGCCTGGGCACCCACCTGGGGCAGGACTCACCTGGAGGGAGTTCAGCACCACGAAGACATAGGCCCAAACGATGCTGAGGGGAACGAGGAGCCCACACAGCCAGGTGAGCCCCAGCACGGGCAGCAGCACCAGGACGGGTTTGGCCGTGGCCCTGGTGGGAGGAAGAGCTCAGGGTTATCCAGGCACATTTCAGAGATGAAACACCACCAAGACAGGAGCTGTGGAACAAATTCCTCTGGAAACAAAATAAGTTAAGACAGGAAAAACCAAATATTTCACCTCCCAGACCCCAGTGTGCCAGCCCTGCTCTTCATTTATCACTGCAAGTTAGCAAGAAGGGAGCTCTTTGACGTCATCAGCCATGAGAAAACAGCTATTTCCCCCCAATTTCTGGTACAAGGAGGGTTTCTCTATTTGTTTTAATTGCACATGGATGTCACCCTGCCCTCCAGCAATGCCCTATCTTTGTGCTTCTGTAAATTTGGTAAAATTTATTTATGCTACAGGGGAACAATGCGTGTCTAGCAGGGGTATCCGGCGCCAGCTAACAACAATAAAAATTCACAGAGCATGATAAAATAATGACTCAGGCAGCAGTTTTTTAGAGGTCTCTCAGTATTGACTGATTACAGAAGTCCCCACTGCCTTTTCCCCTGTGTGTGTAGCCCCCAGCCTTACTTTCAACTCACCAAGCCCCAAGCTTGGATTGCTGCAGGCACTGCCAAGGTGTCCTGTCCTAAAGGGATGAGATTTAGGAGTCTGAGTGCAGATGGAGACCAGCACTGCTTCCCTAAGTTGAAGGTGCTGGTTGGGCTTCTCAGCTGGGATTAGAGACTGTCTTTGGGTGAGACACAGTTACCCTGGGGGAGAGAACCCCCCCTGCCCCTGCTGCTCTGACTCTCACAGCTCGCTGTCCTTCCCTCGGCCAAGCTGCTCTGGCCAGCCTGTGCCAGTGCCTCAGCAGCTTCCCTGGGAAGGATTTCTTCCATCTAGCTGACACTATCTCACACATTTCACAGCCCGAGCAGCCCCAGCTGGGAGAGCCAGGCCCTTCCCTGCTCACCAGAGCTGTGTTCCCATCTGGTTCTCCAGGCTGCTGTTGGGCGTCAGCATCTTGGATCTCCTGCGAGCGCTGGCCACAGTCACCGTCACCACCCGCAGCAGCACGAAGCTGTTCACCTGCCAGGGCAGAGCTGCTGGCCTCAGAGACATCCTGCAGACTTCCAGCAGGGTGGGGCTTCCCTGCTGGAAACTAGGCTCACAACTTGGGGACAAATATCGCTACCAGGAAAACAATGAAATCAGAAGGCTTCACAGAGCTCTCTACACATGTATGGAATCTAGGAAACTTATCCCAAAACTTGTCCTACAGAACCTCTTCCCTGTTAAAGGTCTATTCTGGATCCCATAAATATTGGATCTTTTTCTGCTGCTGTGTTAGATGTTCCTGTATTAAAATACAGGACCTTTAGCTGAGGCAATGTCACACACCACATTCCTAACTGAGCAGCCAACCAAGAACTGGTCAGCAAAATTTTCTTAAAGCACTTCTTCCTATCAAAAAGCTTTTTTGATTAAAGAGATTTACTTGTGTTGGAGAAGTCTATATAGAGCAAAACAACAATTTTCCTCTAAAAGCAGCAGGCACAATGAGCTTCACCCCTGACTCTGCATTGCTTTTCTAGGAGCAGACCCACAGGACTCCCACCTTCCCAGCAGGGTTTGGCACTTACAGCCAGGATGAAGAGCACAGGCCCCACAAAGGCCCAGATGACGTTGGTCTGCACGTTCAGCCAGCAGTGGTTGGATGCCACATACTTGTTAAAGGAAGTTGCAAGAGTCACCCCCACGATAAGGACTGGAAGTCCTGCAGAAAAACCCACAGGTTAGACCTTGGGAAAAGCAGAGGTGCCCCAGGCAGGGCACTGTGCACCAGACAATTGCTTCAAAACCCCCCAGACCAGACAGACTTCAGCGTGAGCTTCCAAAACCCCATGAGCAACATCAATTCTCTGCAGCTGAAATCTGTCCTGGCTCAACACAGCCAGATTTACAAGCTGTCAGCATCTTTCTCTGAGGTATAAAGCATTCCAAAACCTGAGTCCTGACCAAAGCAATTTATTCCTCAGATCACTTTTTTAACAAAATGGACAATCAAAGACATAAACCAATCCAAAATACTTGAAGCAGTTGCCCAGTGTCCAACGAGGTGTGTGCTCTTTGAGCAGCACATCCCTAAAAAGGCTCCTCTTGACACAAAACTCAGCTTATTCAAATAATTCTATGTCCCTAAAGGGCTCCCTCAGAATAAAAGGTGCTTAGTGAGGAACGCATTTATATTTAATTATTATCAGGCAATGGTGATGCTCTCCAAGGAAAAGAACTTACCATAAATCTCCTCCTCCATTTTTTTTACTACTGAACTCCTGGATTTAGAAATATTAACAGAAATTCTGCTCAATTTATATTCTAAGACTAGCAATTTGACAAATAATTCAAGGGAGCCTCTGCAGGGCATTGGCACCCAGTTCTCATATTAAATTAAATCAAACAATAGTGCATCTCTCCTATTAAAACTTTCAATAGGAAAGAAAAAGAATATTTTCCTGAGCACCCAAGGCAAAGGAGTGTGCAGATACCCCAGCCTGTCACGTAGTAAAACTTCATTCTCCTGCCTTCGCTCATGTTGACTGCTACCACCTTGCTCCAGAGGAGAAGCCCCTCTACCAGCATCCATGAGAAGGCTGCCATGAAGAAGAGGTGCAGGAAGGCAGTGACCATGAAACACAGCACCTGGAGAGGGCAGAAACCACACTGCACAACGTATATATGTGCATCTCCAAACAGAGAGACAATTCTACCCCAATGACAGTTACAGGGAATTAATGAAAGGGTAAGGTAGTTACCCTTTAATTAATTTAAGGGAATTACTAAATACTTCTGTTGCATTGCTCTGACAGTGGTGCTGGAGCCTGGCCACACGGGCTGAGTGGGCCACTCTTGGTGAGCTCACCTGGTTGGACTTGGCCAGCTCACTGAACATGAGCAGAGCTTCTCCTGCAGCCAGTGCAAGGATCAGGTTCTTGTGCACAGTTGTTCGTTCACTCTTGGGGACGCTGGGGAGGGAGAGAGGGAGCCCTGAGCTGAGCCAGACTAAAGGGTGCACCACAAAAGGGTCCTCCCTGTCCTCCCGGGCTGGGCAGGCCTGCCTGGGCAACCTGAGGTCTCTCTGCCACTCAGTGCAAAGACGACAGTCAGAGGGGCAGGGGACAGCCTTGCTGTGCAAGCACTTGGTGCTGGGGACACCCTTGGATACAGCTGCTGAGCCCCTGGCCAGGCTCCAGGGCACAGGCAGTGAGGGGGAGGTGGAGAGAGCCACTGCCATGCTCACAAGGCAGGTCTCTGTGCTTGCCAAGTGACACAGAAGGGCTGGCAATCAAAGAAATAGTCCTTGCTCCATTTATTTTATAAAAATTCATTCTAGCAAAGAAGCTTTTATAGTAAACATCGTTAGCAATTGATGGAAATCTTGCCACAGACACGCAGGTGTGTGCGCAGATCAATGAGCATCTCCACAGAAACAACCAGGGCTGAGCCCCTCTCCAGCCAACACCAACTACTCCCCTCTGCCACGGAGCACAGGGCAGCTCCCACCTCTTCCCACACACCTGCATCCCCCCACACTGACAAAGGACACTTTGAGAAAGGCTCTGAAGTAAAATACTGAGTAGGAAGCACAGAGAAGGCTGCAAGTGTCCAGGCTTTTCTTACCGGACTACCAAGAACAAAATGAAGGTGGCTGTCAAGGCACAGAAGGAAACTCCACATCCAATAAAAGTCAAAGTCTGCAGCATGAACTCCTCCTTGGTGGTCCTCTGCTCCAGACATGAAACAACAGAAGACTCAAATCCCTCATGAATTAACCCAGCAGCTGCAGTCCCAGCACCCACCCCAGAGACAGGCTCCTCACATACCTGCATGTCGTGCACCTGCAGCAGGATGGCAAAATTTGTGCTGTGGTTGCAAAAACAGGCAGTGGAGTCTGGGAGAGACTTGGCCACAGAGCAGCCGGCTGTGGACCACATCCCACCAGCATCTGGGCTAATGTGCAGCAAAACCAGAGAAAACACATGGAAATTACCTTTCACATCCACAGAAAGCCAGGGCACGATGGGAACTTCATTCTCCCAGAAAAAGCAGAGTTTAAAGGAGGAAGATGAGGATATCAGAAACAGGTCTTCATGTGGACTTCCCTTTGGTTCCGCTTTGTCTCAGCAGCTTGGCCTCATCCAGCAGGCTGCTGGGACTCTTTGGACAATAACCAGCTGTTTCCAAAATCACCCTTCTCATCTTCCCCTACCTGATCCATACCTGCTACAAGTCTGGGACTCTAAGGAGGTTTTTTTTCACTTGAATGACTTAATTACCAATCTATGATATATCACAGCCTCAGTGTTCTCACCACAGTGACATTCAGCAAAAACACATCCCAATGCCAGGCAGGATTTATGAGGCTGGGAGTCCTGCATGTCTTTGGGGTGTATATCTTGGACTAACTCTTCTTTGTCACAGGCAACAACCATAATTAACTAGGGCTTTCCATCTGAGTTGTATATACCTCATCAAAGGTCACTTGCTTGTGAGTGACTTCTCCAAAGGAAATCTTCCCAGGAAAGCATTCTGCTCCAGCAGACAAGGGATGTCAGCATGCAAAGGAGGCAAAAAATTCCAGATCTCTACTCTTACCATTACATTTCTATTGGTTTTCCAGTGGAAATAAAAAGCTCATAAATCTGGGGACCTGAATCGAAACAAGGCACCTGAGGCTGAAGTTCCAGAAGGCACAGACGGGCCCCACCAGAGCATCGGGCAGGTCCTGCAGGCAGGGAGGGGAGAGGAGAGGTCACAGGCACGCAGGTGCTGGACACGGGCGCAGGTCACTCACTCCCTTGGCTGTGACAGGCTCTGGCAGCACAGGACAAACACCTCCCCAGGGTCACAGGAGCCAAGGCAAGAGCCCCGAGCAGGGACAGCCCTCATGCCAAAGCTCTGGGTGCTGAGCCGCGGCTGGGCACGGGTGGGGACAGCCGAGGACAGCCGGGGACAGGCAGGGACAGCCGGGGACAGCCGGGCCAGGCTGTGGTGCCGCGGGCAGGGGGTGGCACAGCCCCTGGCGGTACCTGGACACGGTGCTGCAGGCGGTAGCGCACGGCCGTGCTGATCTCCTGGTCCTCACCGAGCAGGGTGGAGGAGATCACAGCCGTGCCCACGGTGGTGCTCAGGTACCTGCCGGGGGAAGGACGCTGCTCACGGGCTCGGGAAGCGCAGGATGTGCTCAGAGAACCGAGAACGGGATCTCCCGGGGTACGGGACAGCTGCGGAGATCCGGCGGCTGCCGGGCCGCCTGCAGAGGGCCCGGGCACGGGGCAAACCCTGGGGTACCTGGCACAGCCCCACCGCTGCCCGGCACTGGGGCGGGCACTGGGGCATCCCGAGGGATCCGGCTGAGCAGCCGGGAGGGCACTGGGGCATCCCTCGGGATCCGGCTGAGCAGCCGGGCGGGCACTGGGGCATCCCTCGGGATCCAGCTGAGCAGCCGGGAGGGCACTGGGGCACCCCGAGGGATCCGGCTGAGCAGCCGGGCGGGCGCAGCGGGTGCGGGATGTGCGGGCGGCCATCCCCACCTAGTGTTCGGAGCTCCGGGAGCGCAGCGAGCCCGGCCCCGCTCCCAGAGCCACCGTCTGCAGAGACACCTTGTGCCCAGCCGGAGGGCACCTGCACAGCCCCCGTGGGCTCTGTGCCCTGCCACCCCGGCAGAGTGGGAACCCAGGCCACCAGAGGCCCGCAGGACACCCCGCGGGGCACCTGGTGCGCAGGCAGCCCCGGTGCCAGGGCTGAGATGGATCGGGATGAAGGTGGCCCCAGCCCCGGGGCACCAGCTGGAGGCAGGTTTGGAAATGAGCTGTTCCTGGCACTGAGGGCAGCCCTGGGGCGCGGCGGGCTCTGTTTCACTCACTTCTGAGCCCCATCAGGGGCAGCTGTGCCCTGGGACACAGCGCTGGTGCCACTGCTGGACAGGCAGCGCTGCAGGGAGCCGTAGCCAAACCACATGTTCTTCACTGTGACTCTGCGGAGACCTGCAGGGACAGAGCACGGGGACAGGAACAGAGCACAGGGCAGCACTGGACACCACTGCCCTCCTCTGGGGTGATGCTGGGGTCCAGAACACGCTCAGCTCCCAGCTGTGTCTCTAGAGGGGCCCTACAGAACATTTCCCCATGGCCCATCTCCCTTTTGCCAAGGTTATCCCCTCCCCACACTTCTCCAGACCTCAGGTGGCCAAGGTAAACAGTTTGTGCCACTAAGGAAGGTGATGCAGAGGCGCCAGGGGAAGCTCAGGTGTCAAAACAAACCTCTGGATTTCAGCCTTTGCATTTCTTCTGCAGGAATTTCGATGAGGTCGTGCCTGCCTTTCTCAGGGGTCTGGATCTCGTATGCTGAGGCACTCAGCTCCTGCTCGCTCAGCTCCAGCTCCCTCACCTCCATCCCTGTGCACAGGGAAAGTCAGTGCTGAACCAGGGCTCAGCCTCCCCCCAGAGCTCCTGCTGCAGCAAAGTACCACAAGGACACTATAGCCCCAGCCAAGACCCCCAGCAGCAGCAGCAGCCAGGTCCCTTTCTGGGCAAACTGAGGGCATCTGGGCTCACTTTCTGCCAGGCCCAAGGGTTTCTTACACTCCTCTTGCAATCCACAGCGTGAGAGGTGCCCTCACACTGTGACACTCTGCACAGAGGAAATGGGGAGCAGGCTGCAGGGCTGGCAAGAGGTGAGCCAAGGGAGGAGAGGAGCCAGGAGTGGATTTGGATGGGAACCAGATGGGGTGGCTGATCTGGGTCTTGGTGAGATGCCCTCCAGTGCCACTCACCAATATTCCCCTGTTGGATCGTGATCTTTGTCCTCTCTGTGGTCAGCAGTGGGACCAAGAGTGACACCATTCTGTCACAGAGCTCAACCACAGCCATGGGCCCCCTGATAACCTACAAAACCAGAGAGAACAATGGAAATCAGCACCTGCACCATCAGCCGTCCCTTCCCACATCTCACAAGAGTTTCCTTAAACATTTGGTCCTTGGCAGAAAAAAGGAGAAGTTGAGACTCAAGGCTTTGGCTTTGCTTTTCTGTGATTTTTCTGTGATTTCTTTACTGAAGGATGTTCCCAGATCCTTCAGCAAGGAGACAAGTCTGGCAATGAGGGAAACTTGCTGTTCTGCATAAAAAGCTATTAAAACAGCATGAAAATAAATCACTAAATGAGCTTCTGGAAAGAAAGACCTTTAGACTTGAGTTCTGATTTTCGCAAAGCTGTAGAGCAACCATCTGCTCTTCCTGGAAAAGGTTTCATCCAGAAATAGGGTTCACCAGCTGAAGGGCAGCAGAAGAGCAGCCCCATTGCTCGAGGTCCTGCTGTGCTGGATGCACAAGTGCCACCCCTGCAGTTCACAGCTCCCATCCTTCTCCCTGAGATTGCCAGCTGCACCAGTTGCACTGGGCCAGCGCTGGGTTTGTGCCACTGTTGAGAAGCTGTGAGTGGCTGTGGCCATGGAGACCTGAGCCACTGTGAACAGTGAGGCAAGCCCTGAACTGCTCAGCTTCTTTAATCATCTCTGGAGATCCCTGGCTTGGTTCCTGGGGCACAGACCAGGCCAGACACTGCCACACATTTTCCAGAGGCAGGTGGAGACTGCAGACCTTGCACCAGGCACAAAAAACACACGTGAGCACAGAGAAAAAACTCACAGGGGTGGGATGATGGAAATCCCTTATGCAAAGCCTGACGGTGTTTGAGCAGTGAGGGGGCTGATGGCAAACAGCTCCTTGGCAGCCCATCCACAGAAAACACAACACACTGCCGAGGATGAACAGGGGAGGCACGCAGCAGTCAGACTGGTGGCACCATTACCTGGCTGATCGATGACCATGTCCCAGTATTCTGCTCTGCCAGAATTGACTCAGTTACTTCCATGTAATACTGGCCCAACTGCTCCAACATCTCCAGCTCATCTCCCTCCTGGATTTCCAAATCTGAAACTTGCTTTAGTAATTGAAGAACTGCAAGGAGGTCAGTTGGCTCAAGCATGGGCACTTCTTCTCTCAGAACAGTTGCCAAGATATCAAGAGCATCAAGAGCCACAGAGAGGTTCATATCTTGCACACCACTCGTGAAGACACTGTCAGGAATCTGTCATGGAAAAGACAGTTCAGTTCAGTGCAGAGCCCTGACTCTCCCCATCATCAGCTGTGCCTTGGCAATGCCTCTGCTGGGGCTGCAGGACTCACCACAGTGCTCGCTGCAAGGCTGTTCACGCGGCGGGCCAGCGAGTGACTGGACTCCTGCTGAGCTCTTTTCAGCTGCCAGTATGCATCTGGGGACAAACCAGAACCAGAACCACTGCTGAGGTGTCCGACAGCGTGGTTAACACATGCCATGTTCAAAGCCTGGGCAATGGTCCTCAGATGGTGGCTAAGTCTGCAGGACAGGCAGGACAAGGAGACTCCACAGCTGTATTTTATTTTTAGCCCAAGATCCCATCTGGAGAGAGTTCCACTCTCCTTTTCTGTCCCTCCCCATGCTCCCCTGGCCAACGAATCTGGGAATGCCTGGACTGGGAGGCACTCACAGCGCTGCCCAGCTCAGCTGGGGAAGAGCCAAACCCCCTGCCAGAGTGCAGGCAGCTGGAGCAAAGTGCAGCCCCAGAGGGTTTAGCATGAGACCCCTTGAGAGCAGGGGCCTCCCCATCCCTGGCCACCAGCCCAGCCAGGAGTGCGTGTGGTGGGAGCAATGCAGGGATAAGTGACAGATGCTGTACCCTTGCTGTAGTGACAGATGAAAGGCAAAGTCTGCAAACAAGAGGCATAACTGAATCCACTGCTGCCAACTTCCAAAACTCTGCATTCCTCCACAGGTCCTGTGGAAACACACACAGACAGAAGGGTCTCCCAGGGCCCCGCCATCCCCAGCAGGGATCACCTCTCCTGCAGCAACCCACAAGCCCTGGTACAGCAGATGCTGTGGGCTGTGCCCTAAGAGCCAGGACAGTAGCCACAAGGATACTGAGACTTACCTGGGCAGAGAAGCCGTGTGGCCACTGCCTGAACGGTCCTCTCCACTTCCAGGGCATTTGAGCTCCACCCAAAAACAAGGTCTTGCTCTACCACCCCGCAGGAGCGAACTTTCTCAATGTGCTCGGGGCTGAGGGCTTTCTGCCAGATGTGCAGGTCAGTGATGTTCCCACTGAAGGACTCCTTTGCCCTGAAGGTGCCCCCCAGGGAATCTTGGTCCTGCCCGATGATGAAGGTGCCCTGGCCAAAGATGGCCTGGGGGGCAGAGGGCCCCACAGGACACAGACCACTGGCTGATGCCCTCCTTTTCCCGTCGGCATAGATGGCCCAGGTCCCGTTTTCCTGCTGCCAGGTCACGCAGAAGTGGTGCCACTGTCCATCAGCACGGAACACAGGCAGGTACGGGGAGTGGTGGCCGTGGACGATGAGAGCAAAGCGGACAAAGCCTTCCTCATCCACAAAGCCACGGAGCTGGAACTCGTTCATGAAGGCAGGCACGGCGTAGGAGAAGATGGTGGCGATCTCCTGGGTGCTGGTGTCCCACTGCAGGTGGGCACAGGCTGTGACAGCAGGCAGTGCCGGGAAGGCAGAGAGCACTTTCACGTATTTTGTGTCTGTTTTGTCTCGGAACACCAGGACTGGTACAGTGTGGCCACCTAGAAGGAGAAATTTCAGTCAGCAGAAAGGAAGAAGCATAGGCAAATAAAGTGACAATAAAAAAACAAGGGACAACTTCTCCAGCTGTATTTTTCAGTATGAAAACATCTCTAAATAGCCCATGTCTGCTTATACTCACGTCTCCTCTTTGTTTTGTGCAGGACACTGTCCCTTTCCTTTATCCAGACAGAACCTCGGATGTGGTGGGACTGCAGCAGTTTGCTGAAGGAGCCTTGCTCACTGTCCTGGGGTTCCAAGAGCAGCTGTGCAAAGTGCTGCTCACAGTACCTGTCAGCTTGCCACCAGTCCAGAGCAGTGGCCACGTATTCATACGTGTGTCTGGGGGTCTCAACTGTGACAGGAGCAAAACCTGGGGAAAGACACACATAGCCTGGGGAAACAGAAAGGCTCTGCAGCCCGCTGCTAGAAACACTGCCTTGTGCATGCTGGAGGAGCTGCTGGCAGGAGCTCATCTGCCCCTGCAGCCCTTGGGCTGGTCGGTGGGCACAGTGGGACAAGCTCAGACCACATGGAGCTGAACCCAGGGGTGCCTGTGGCTGCTCTCTGGGCCAGGGCTGGAGCTGGGCACACTCCCGTGGGACACACGAGCCATGCCAAGCCCAGCACAAAGGAAAACTCTCTCTGCTCTGCCTAGGGATGGCCCTCAGAAAAGCTTGTTCAAAGCAGTTATGCAAAAACAACTTTACTTGCTTTATCCCCAAAAAGCTCATCCCAGCTTCTGCACTCGAAGATGCAATTTGCAGGCACAAAATAATCTGTTTGATTTGCAGTTGCAGTGGGGCACAGAGCAGCAGCTGAACAAACAGCCTGGCAAATACCAGCTCTGCAAACAACATTTTAGGCACAAAACAGAGTAACAGAAAAATTTTCTTTACCTTTGTTTGCACCACCAGACACCTTTTGTTTCTCTGCGCTGGATATTGCTTGTAAAACATAGAGAGTGCTGATAAAACCACTAACCTTTAGAAGTCTGGTTCTTGGCAAGGGCTGCAAAGGCAAGGAGACTCCTGGACAGACCGACCTGGTGGAGAGGATGTGTTCTAACATGTGGAGAAACATTAATATTGTCTCAAATACTCAGAATAAAAAAAAAAGCCCAGTAATACTCACCAGAAAGCTGAAGAAGGAAGAATCAGGTCTCAAGTCTCTCCTAACCATGCTGACCAGCTGGGAATCTTTCACCTTTTGCTAGAATAAATAAAATATTTCTGGAGATGAATCACGGAGACAGAAGCATTCTGCAGAAATTACATCCCCTGACAATGCTGCTTTCCTCAGAAAGTCTCAAAACAAAAAGGAGAAAATTACTCCCTCTGAAATACCTGTCCTGAACAGTATCTTATCCAAAGAATTTCCAGATCTTCTTGAAGATCTTACGGTCTCAGTTTAACATTTGTTTGCAGGATACAAAATAATTAAGCATAAAACGTAGAGATGTGCAATATTAGGGAACAGGAAAGATCGCAGAGCTGCTTCATTTGCATTAACTAAATAAAAAAGCCACCATAAATGGCATCATTAAACAGTGTTGCACCACTGGCAGATTTTCTCGTTGCCTTTAAAACCTGCAGGAGCAGAGCACCGGAGCAGAGCCTGCCGAGCAGTAAATCCAGCCTCCATGAGCCCGAACACAGCTCCCAGCACCACGGAGCCATCCCGGGGAGCTGCCAGCGCCAGGGCTCGGCAGTGACCCCCATCTCCCCAGGGGGAGGAACCTCCGGGTGCACGACAGTAAAAAGCCTGGTAAAATCATAGATGAGGGCACGTAAAGACACAAGATGGAAACTGGCAACGCCAATGCAAACAAGCCCTAAAGCTCCTGGCGCTGGCATCACCGCTGTGAGTGATCTCTGCTCTCCCCGTGCGCGCTGTAAAAGCACATTTAAGCACTTTGCTGCTAAGGGACTTCAGAGATCTGCTCTGCAGCCCGGGCTCTGTGTTCACGGTCTTCCAAAGTTCAGCAGAGACTTTGGAAACGCCCAACACAGCTCTTGGCCATCCAGGGAAAATTATAAATCTGATGGGTGCGAGGGAGCCGCGGCACCGCCAATGTCCCGCTCCTCAGCCGCGCCTCAGGTGTCCTTCTGCAAGGAGCGCCCTGGAGATGGTGCGGGCGGAACCCGCTGTGGGCAGGGGAAACGGGGCAGGGGGAGCGCCCGGTGAGCCGGCCGGGAGAGCCCCGGGGTGACTCGGGGCACCGGGCCCGGGGCCAGCCCGGCGGGGCACGGCAGCGCGGCTGCGGCACCCGGAGCGGCGGGAGCGGGAGCGGGAGCGGCGAGGGTCCGCTCTGCGGGACCGCGGCTGGGACCCCCTCTGCACCCTGCTCCGCACCCCACTCCGCACCCTGCTCCTCACCCCGCTCCAGACCCCGCTCCGCACATCTCTCCGCACCCCGCACCCCGCTCCGCACGCCGCCGCCGCCGCCGCTCGCAGCCCCGCCGCAGCTCCGCACTCAGACGATGCCGCCGCTCCGCGCCCCGGGCCCGCTGGCAGCGGGACGGCGCTGCCGGGTCCCCGGGGCGCTGCCCAGTCCCCGGGGCGCTGCCGAGTCCCTGGGGCGCTGCCGGGTCCCAGGGGCGCTGCCGAGTCCCCGGGGCGCTGCCCACTCCCCGGGCCGCTGCCGGGCACCCGCACCCCCCTGCCCGCGTCCTCACCCGCACCGCACCCCGGGACGCCCCTCCAGCCCACCCCATCGCCCGCAGCAAAGCACTCACAGCCCTCCCCGCTCCGCTGTGCCGGGATCTTCTTCCCCGGCAGTCACTGCTCCATGGAAGTGTACAATTAAGCTTCCCAGAAAATCTGGCGCATGATCACGGCTGAGAAATCAGGGAGTGGGAGAGTGCCTAGGGATCCTCACAGCAGAAAGAACCCAAATCAGGCCAGGAGTGCAGGCGGAGAGGGACAGGTCTAGAGAAGTCCAGTGGGTTCCTGGTGCGATGTCCTCACCAAGCAGCTTCAGCGTTCCGGCATTTCCTCACACCGGGGCCCGCAGCTGCCCGGGGACAATGCCAAGGCTGGGGGGCCCAGGTGCCCCCATGGCACTCCCCACCTCACCAGCCAGAGCTGCTCCTTCGGTTGATGCCCACCCACTTTTGCTACAGCAACAGGCACACAGCTCCCACTCCTGCCATCCAGTAAATGCTTGAGTCACACCATGGATTCACCAGCAACTGGCTTTTGTTCTTCAGGGTCTTCGCCTGGGAATGAAGGCAATTTTCCCATCCCAACGCCTCTGCTCATGGCAATAAATCTCCCACAGAAGAATGGACCTTGGAGGCAGCTGCTCTGGTGCTTAGGTGCCAGCTGGGAAATGGCCTGGCACTCCTGGCAGCGCGGCACAGAGCGCCAAGGGCCTGCCAACAGCATGGCAGCACTGCAGAAGGCTCTGCTGCCCACCGAGGTTTGGCCAAAGTGAATCCTGCTTCCCTTGGTAATGCAGGGAATGAGGGCAGAGCCCAACTTTATGCCAAAGATCTTCAGAGGGAAACAGCAAAATTATTTCAAATTTAGGGCTGGATTAGGTTTAGTGAGAGTTAGAGTTTCCCAGCAGACAGCAAAAACTGTGGTCTTTGTGCCTGTGTCTTAGAATGACTCACCTTTTGTAAGAGCACAAAATACAGTTTTCTGGTAGCATTAGAAAAGGGATCAAGCCCTCAGCATCACTCTTCTCTGTGTATTCAAATAAACCTTCTTCTGTGCATATGCAGAGAGGTGAATGGAAGTTTCCTGTGATCTCTGAATGCCACCCAAGTTTCCACCTCACCTACACCAGTTATCTGGATTTAAACATAAACTAATTTCCATAAGTATACACTGGACTTTCAAATAAGATTTGATGCTTTGGCTGGCATCAAGGATGGCTCTAAGAGACCCTGACAAGAAAGCATCACTTGCATTTCAAAGGAAAGGTCACAGCCAACAAGTGGAAACCAATAGTTGGCATGCCATTGTGCTTTCACCTAAAATCAGACTGAAAAAGCCCCAAAAGCCCAGGAATTGTGGTTCCTTTGTACCTCCTGGCTCTCCAGATGCTATCTCTGCACACACGGGCACTGCCAGCTGTTTGCTCCTTGCCATGGAGCAGATTCGCTGCCACCAGCGCTGGCAGCTCCTCACTGCATCAGCACCAATTCCCACAAAGCCAGTCAGCTGTCTCCTCAGGGCAACTGCAGTTTCTGGAATCACCCTCATTCATACATCTCACCAGAAATGGGAAATGACAGAGTTCCCAGAGTTAAGAGGTGTCTGTCCAGCACATGAAGACCTTGGCAAGCAGACATACAACTTTGGGATGGCTGGATGGCAAAATCCCAAAGCACTTTTAATGCTGGTAAATCTCTCTAACAAGCAGCTGAGCAAAGGGCAAGTTGTTTTGTGCCATTTGGATGATGCTGTCACTCTGGGTTAGCTTGGTTTGGAATACGTTGCAGTTCTGTTTACACTCAGTCAATTTAAAAAATCAGCTCAGGTGCATTTTAAGGAGCATTTCCTTAGCAGTGAGTAAACCCTGAGCTGCCACCCTCAAGGCACATCTTTCACACAACCCTTCCCAGCACACGGGCCAGCAACATGTTAATCTTTATAAATCAAATATTTGCCAAATGGAGTAGAAGCCATGTGTGTGAGCAAGATGCACTGAGAAATGAAACAAAGCACAGAGTGTGTCAGGGATCACTCAGGCCTGGGCGAGTCTGTCCCTTGCAGAGTTGTCCTTCAAAGCAGCATTCCCCTGGCCCAGTTCTACATATTATTCTCCTCCAGTCTTTTTTGTCCTGCTGTTCACTGTTCAGAACTGACACTCTCTCTAATCCAATTCCTCCTCACTCAGTTTAATGTCACCCAAACTTTCATTAGAATCAGTTTTAACCCAAGGCAGGGTTTTCCAAGGGCTGACTCGGGAGACACCTGAGGAGGTGCAGACTTACCTCCCTCCCCAGTACTGGGCTGTGAAATCGTGTCACACCACTGCCATATCGCAATTATTTTACCCTTTTACACATCTGAATGTTTCACAAGCTGAATTAACCCTGCATTGCAGTGCTCAGGTCCCCCTGCTCCTGCTCTGGGGAGCCCTCAGGGCAGGACACCCCATCTCTGCCACTCCCAGGGAGCTCTTACCACCCCTACCACTCTCACAGGGAACAGTTGGCAGAAGCAGCAGTGCCTGGAGAAACCTCGACAGCTGTCCCAGCCCCTCTGGACAGAGGCCCAGGGTCACCACCTGAGCCCCACACTCCCCTTGCCTAGAGAAGGGGTCTGGAGGTGCAGAGCAGCCCTGAGGGCCCTGCAGGAGTCCTCAGGTGCACAGCTGGGACCGGGCATGGCAGGTGCCACCTCCCATTCACAGCAGCAGGGCAGGGGCACAGGGGACACGTGCTCAAGCTATTTCTTCAGGTATCCAAACAAGTTCCTCACCCTGCACAATGAAGGTCTGCACCGATGTGATTTTATGGCCAGACACTCGCATCTTTTGCAATGCCATTATTTGTCTATTTCTCTTAGTTTCCTCTCCCCTTCTCCTTTCAAGTCTGTCACATCAGGGTTGCCCAAACTCCCTGATGCTGCAGGCTTCCCATCAAGAGCTGGTAGGTGATGGATACGTCCTCAGGAAGCTGAGGGGAGAGGGCACAAGGTCACAGGCAGAGCAATACCTCCCCAAGGGGACAGAGTGACCCATGGAAGTCTCAAGAGCCTGCCTGTACCAACGACCTCCTCACACAGAAAATGCACAGCTCTCCCTGCAGCCCTCAGGTGCCCCTGCCAGCAGCAGTGACCTCCTCAGCACAGCAATCACATCTCAGGATGTGCAGGGAGGTGAAGGGAAGTTTCCTGTGCAGGGCTCTGCACTGGGAGCTGTGCCCCTGCTTGGAGCTCTGCTCAAAACTCAGCACGGGTGTAACCACTGCACACCCCCACCCTCTGCTTTATGGCAAGGGGCAATCCTAGGTTACATCCTGCAGAGATGGAGCTGATAGCAAGGAAAAGATTTTCCTAATTTTCCTCTGGATTTCCTGTGTGTTGGAAGAACACCTGCAGCAGGAGAAAAAACTGTTTGAGACTCGCTGAGCAAATGAGCTCCCTTTGAACAGCAGTCACTGACACTCCTTATGTCAGTGCATTGCTGCTGCCTTGGTTTCAGGGCCTTTGTAGGGCCAGTAATTTGGGACACCTTTAAACACTCTGAGCAATGCAGGGCTCCCAGAATTCTGCAGCCCTTGGGCGCAGAACCTCACTTGGGTTAATTTCCTGTGATACACTGACAACTACAGGACATCTCAGCTGATAAGAAAGGTTCCTCTACAACCCCAGACTCACATTTCTAATGCAAAGGATCCTGTTCCAGTGCTATTTTGCATTCTAACTTGCTTGTAGAGTTAGATTTAACCAGGGTTTTATTTTCTTGTTTTTGCTTCTTAAATGCCCCCAAGTCTCAGTGAGGTTTGTTTCAGCAATCTCATGTGGACATGCCAGCCTTAATCTCGCTCTTCCAGGCCCTTCTCATTGTCTGGGATGAAAGCCCAGGACAGAGCCTCCCCGTTAATTGCCAGCTTTCTGTTTCCCAGTGACAGGTGTATTGTCTGGAGGAACAGACCCAATTGTGTCCCTGCGCAGTGGGACATCAGCTGCTGATATTATAGAGCCTTTCAGGGAGCTTGGGCACGGCTGGTTATTTAGTGCCATCATTTACAAATCTGTGTAGCCCAGAAACTTAATAGAAAAATGGGAGCTGCCTGTATTACTCATCTTTTTGGTGGCTTAGTTTTTTTTTTCTTCAAGCTAACTACTCCTAAATCTTCCATCCTCCTACCAGCAAGACAGGGCATTTGGTTCTGATCCTCTTTGAAACACTAAATTTTTCTGATACCTTTTTTCCATACTTTTCTAATAAAGGGGTTTTGCTGATTTAACCAGACACCCACTGTGCACCTACTTGAACCTGGAATGACAGCTGGAAAAAACTCTGCAAACAGTCATTTCTGTGAGGTGTCGATATGCACAGGCTGAGGTCACAACCATCATGGGCAGACGGTTCATATCCTCTGGAGGTCCTGGGGAACTCTCAGGCAGGGATCTGGATCTGGGGACAGTGACGGTGCCTGCTTTATCAAGTGAAAACAGGAGCGCTGGTGCTGAGAGTGAGGAAAGGCAGCAGCAAGAGAGCTCCTGAGAGATGAGAGGAAAACATACAAGAACAATATGAGACCCAGATTGCATCTGTCTTTCCCATTTTTCACATGAAAGGCTAAAGCTTTCCATACGTGGCTGCTGCACAACAGCAGAGCTGCAGCACCAGCGGCCAGAAACGCAACAGACCATTCAGCAGATGGCCCAAGTCTCCTCTGCAGGGGCCTGGCAGTGGAGAAACCATCTCTTTACTGGGTTTAATCACCACAATCACAGGACAGGAGGGGCTACAAACAACTGGCAAAAGCAGCTCCGCATCAGTTTGCAGGAACACAGATGTGGAGAAAGGGGAAGCACAGCTGAGCCCTGGGGTCAGCAGATTCGGAGTTCAGTCAGCTCAGGTGTACATTCCCAACCTGGAATGGCAATCCCCCCACACATCCCTTTTGCTGACATCCTGTCCCATGGGGGGAACAGTCTGTTCTCACATCTACGCCTTTGCCAGAAGCATTCCCATTCAGAAAATGGCTCTTTCAGAAGCTCTGTGGGACTTCCTTCACATCTCACACCATCCCCATGCCTGCTTCAGCTTTAACCTCTTCTTTCAGTTTTCAAAGTAATAAAGACACCCTCTTGAATGCAAGTCAACACTCCATTTTCACTAATGAATTTAAATATGTCAAATAAGTCTGCTTTGGGAAGTTTCAGATGCAATGAGGAAGATCCCAGCAAGCTCACCTTCTGTCCTGCCTGGGCAAACACTTATTGATGAGCTTTGGTTTAGCCACAGGTTGGTGAAGTTTGAGTCTATCTAGTTCTGATCTTGTCAGAATTGTATTTAAATTCTTCTGACAGATTCTTGGCCTGCAGCTCGTTAACAGATCGTCGTTGAGGCGAGATGTTTGAAATTAGAGCGGTTTGGAACAGGAGAGACACATGGAGCGTTTATTCTCCAGTTCAGCCATGATCTCCCTGCCTGGCTCCACTCCTGACACAAGTTCACCCTGGGACATCGCAGGAGCTGCTGGCTAGCTCGGGAGGTAGGGATGCACCCCAACCAG